CTTTTGTAAATGAAGCTTTTGAAGCTGGAGTTTTGTAAATGAAGCTTTTGAAGCTAGAGCTTTTGTAAATGAAGCTTTTGAAGCTGATTGACATGAGTGATGCTCATGAATGTTTATGTTGATTGACATGAGTGATGCTCATGGATGTTGGCATGAGTGATGCTCATGAATGTTTATGTATGATTGATATGAATAACGCTCATGAATGTTTATGTATGATTGACATGAGTAATACTCATGTATAATTTGAAGTACTGAGCGTACCTTTGATCACCTGGTTGGTGATAATGGCGGCGGGGTGCGGAATAATTTTTTGTAGTACTGGACGTACTTTTGGTCACCTGGTTGGTGCTATTTTGGGCTTATGGGCCTTTGCCTTCCACACAACATTCCAGACCATTTATTTTGGGCTTTGCCGGTTTTTTTTTTTAATTATCCTCTGATGGGGTTATACAGATGTCTCTAAAAGATAAGAAAAAATAAATTACATCATTCTGGTGGTATGTTTATTCCTTGCTTTTGCAGTGTCCCCATGTGCCTCCCTTTTGCTTTCTCTTTATTTTCCTTTCTTTTGGCAGATGACAGACAAGGGAATAATGCCATTTCCTTTTTTTGCTTTTGCTTTTGCTTTTGCTTTCGTTTTCTTTTTTCTTTTCTGCTTTCCATTGCGTCTCTCTCTCTGTTTTTGTCTCTGCGCTATTGTCATGCATGTGCACCTAATTAATCATTAATACCTTATTTGCAGTTTGTACCCTACCCACTTGAGGTCCTATCCAGTCAAATCCCAATCTCTCAAATTTTATTCTCTTCTCTTCACTGTTGACCATCACCAAGCTCACGCTCTCAGGCACCAACCTCACCAGCTCGATCCCGAAACAGATTCCCACCCTTAGTTCATTCTCCTTGCAGAGAGAAACTAAAACAGTAGCAGCTTATATCTGCATCAAAGAACTGGTCCAAATGGTCATCTGCGACCGGGCTCTTATAGCAACCTGCTGAGTTGGTTGTCCCTTATTTGGTGTACACGAGTGCCATGTTGCTTTTGTCTCTGCATTCCAGTCTAACCTTGGCACCGGCAATGTAGGTGATGGCTTTGGTCTCGTACCCAACGCAGCAAGTGTCACAGTAAACCTTCCCCTCCGTCTTCGTAGATAATCAATATTTATTATTTGAGCCATTGACTGGGAATGAACAATAAGGGTACCAACAGCATTAACAAGCAAAGCCTTGTGAGTGATTTCACCATACAAAGACCTCATATAATCTTCGTAATATTTCACACCCAATATCTCCAACCCCATATGCGGTGGCCTCGACCTAATGATCCCAGACTTTGGCTGCTGCGCCACCACAGAGGTGGAATACGGCGACGTCAACCCTGCTTCATCGCCCGGTCAATTCGCACCGGTTGCTTGAGGCCATAGAAGCAAGACCCAGATCCCAAAATTGGTGATTTTGTTGTGAGGAACCTAAAGAAGTTGGGGAAAACATGAATAATCTGAAGCTCTCCTCAGAGGTTTTTCTAAATCTCCACTTACAATCCGAGGAGGAGCTCATATTTTTCTTCGTATTCGACATCGAGCAGAATCGCTTGTTCTTCGCTTCCTCCGACAATAACATTTACTTTATTCACCTCTTGTCCATCCAGAATGAAAGGGCGTGGGGCAAAACCTTGATATCAAGTTAATCAAATCGAATTGGATCCCAAGGACTTCATCACTTCATTTAGTTACCTCATGGAGAAAAAAGCGTTTTTGGTGGGAACTGGCAATGGGCTTCTGCTGCTGCATTTTATGAATGATAATGCTACCCAAGTCGTCGGTGGTGTGGATGGAGGTGTCAAGTGCATTACCCCCAGTCCGAATGGTGACCTTCTTGCCATAACTACTGGGTCTGGGCAGGTGCTGGTGATGACTCAGAATTGGGATTTGTTGTATGAGACTGCGCTTGAGGATCTACCGGAAGATGGAGACAAGAGTCATGGGTCCGAGGCTGAACCCCAGGCCCAGATCGGGCCCAGTATTCCCTCCGTCGGTGGAGCTGAAGATTGATTCGAAAGAGGTGCGCTGCGGGATAGTGATCGTGGGGTGGAGATAATGATGAGTCGCTGCGGGCTTCGACGGTTGTGATGGTCCGGGCGGTGGTGGGGGCTGTTGATCTTCTTGCTGCTGCAATTGTTGGTGCTCAGGTTTTTATGGGTCTCATAGCGGGAGCTGAGGACTATGATGCCGATCATGAGGTTGAGGAGGAGGAAAATCGAGGAGGGCGTGAACCAGCTGAGCATCCATGCCCACATGGCCAAAGACGATGATGGGTCTGCCCAGTTGCAGTTTCTCAGCTGCTTCTCACTCTTGTGAGCTTCTAGAGAGAGAGAGAGAGAGAGAGAAAAAGAGAGAAATGTTGTTTTTGTTGTTGTTAGGCATATGAAAATGGAGAACCATGGGGTTTTTCTGGGAAAGCTTTGGGTTTTTACAGATTCACGGCGGAGGTGAAAAATTGAGAGAGAACCGACATAGCTTTTCGTGTCGATTCCCATAGATGGCGCCAAATGTTGATGCACAAAACCGAAAGAGTCTTGGAACAACATAAATCCGACCGTGAATCTGCATGAAAGTAAATAACACAAGATGTATCGTGGTTTACCCTAAGGTTTAGGCTACGTCCACACTGATATTGTATTTCTCTGAGAGGATTGTGAGGTAGAGAGCCTCTATAATGAGAGTGAGGCATTCCTCTGAATATGAGAGGTTTTGAGAGGGTGAGGGGACTTAGGAATTGGCCTAAGAGTTGGCCTCTTATTGTGAGAGTGATGAGTCCTTTTATAGAATAAAGGCTCATCACTTATTACATATTTGTCCATTCCTTTATTACATAATTATATTTGAGTCCCCCGATTATTTATATGAGATCTAAATACGGAGGCCCTAAGTATGGTACAAACAGTCTTCATGTCGTATTTCTTTACTTTCGCAATCTTTCACAACAATTAGTTTTATTAGGCTCATTATTGAGTTCAATAGTATTCTGTTCATCAATTTGTTCAGCAAGAGCGGGTCGCAAACCACTGTTGCAGACATTATCGCATATTAACTGCTTGGTTTTGTTTCCAAAACTGTGAGCACCATCCAATGAAAGCAAAGTCTCATTACCATCATGAAGTAACATCATAAGCATAAATTTAATTAATCTCAACAGGAGAAGAGAAACATAGAAATAAGAAGCACGATGTGTTCCCATCATTGCAGGTGTTATTGTTCTGATTGATTTCATGTGAATGTTCCAAACATCTGCTTACAGTGACAGCTGACAAAGCGGTATCAGACATAGAAGTGTCAACAGTGAGTTCAATCTCCCCTGAAAGCTCAGGCTATGGCTGACCCTGTGAAACATCTTCATTAATTGATTCTTGAAATGAATCAATTTTACTCTCACCACAACTTTGAATCAGTGCTAACATCAATCTCGGTTACTTCAGAAATCACTTAATTTGGCTTACATATGGCGTCAAGAGATGCTAAATATTCCATGCCTGGGCGTGGATACCATGTGGAAGTATGTGTTCTGATATTATAGAACTATTTCTCATGTAGTAAGAATCCCAATATTACCATCCAGTCTCCGGAATCACTGTTGTCTTGGCTGTCAATTCCATCAAGGTCAAGAACTTCTGAACACATGGAATACGAAATTGACTCAGAAACCCCTGGCAGTTCAGGGATATAGTCCTAGCATGTTTTGGTAAGTTCTGCTTCGTGGCAAGTCACTAATGAAGACTCAAAGTGATTGTGCTCAATTAATTTTTCACTTGATTCTGTCTCGTCATTGCCAACAGCCGCATCTGTTGAGCAGCCTCGTGGGCAAATTCCATGATCTAAATCAGTTGGGCTCGCTGCAACTTCCATTGTGTCATTGGGCGCAAGACCACTGTTTAAAGGGTCACAATCTTGACCATCGTTTCAAACAATGCCCGATATTTCGTCATGATTTTGTGCCTTAACAGCATCACAATTCATCTCAATTAAACTTGCAGGACTATCTCCTTGACCAGAGGAGCATTGGCATTTAGTGACGTCTGCTGCAACACCAGAGGAAGATGATTCACTTGGGCCCATCACTGGAAAACAACACAAAAAAGTGCTTGTGTTACCATCAAATATAATAGGAGAAACAATCTCACCCTCACTCACTTTGGAAGACTCCATTGCTCCACGTACAACGTCCTGAGAACAGTCCGGTTGCTTCAGGCGCATTCCCTTTCTTTTTCTTCGGTCTTTCTGTTCCTCTTCTGCAAATTGGTATCAGCATCAAGTTATCAACAGTCCGAAAAACATAAGTTTACGCTTGTGATACTAAATGTGAGTGTCAAAGAAGCAGTAAACCATCTCCAGTTGAAATGTCACCACTCTACATATGCCGACATGCACGAAAATGTATCGAAGACGGATGTTAACTTAACTTTTTGTTTGTGTTGAATGAAACTGGAAGCTCCAATGCATTCATCTGTTTAGTAAGCTCCATATCCTCTTGCAAAATCCCACATTCTAAAACCTCAAAATTTTCCACTAATGCCGTCAATACCACAAAATACACATTAAGTAACTAAACTATAGCTATAAACAAAACAAAGAAAGCATGAAATCGAATCACTAACCATCGCCGCCGCCGCCGTCACCAGCTGGTTTCTGAAATTACGGGCGGAATTCAAAGCATTCAGTACAAAGTTCAAATTTTCGAAACAAAAGTGTAATGAGCTGAAAAAGAACCAAAGACTTACAGTTCCGGCCCATGGAAAGGACCTGTCTTTCGTCTCCCTTGAGCCGTCGTCCCTGTCAAAGCATACACAGAGAGTAAAGTCAATGCCCTAATATTTGGTAGGAGAGATAAAAAGTGAGACAGAGAGAGACAAAGAGACGAACCAGAGAAAGACTTCGGTGAGCTTGAAGAGAGAGCCGAGAACTCTCATGGCGGGACCTTGCTCTTCCAGTTCGACCATAGTCACCATGGCCGGTGAACTGGTTCAGATTATTCCTCCACCTGTTGCCAAAGCACTGCCGGAATCCCAAGCGACGTCGAGTCGTTCGCTTCGGGAGGGAAAAAGGGCAAACCAATTAAGAAAAATAAGGGTTAATTGTATATTTGCATACTAAAGTTCTGAGAGTTTTTCATTGTTGTCCAACAACTTTTATGGTTACTATTTGATCTTTAACTTTTGAGATTTTATTTATATTTGCACCCCTAGCTGAACTTGTATAGAGCTGTCAATTTCTTCATGAATTTTAATTTTGGTCGATTAACTCTTAAATTTTTATAATTAGCCAATTTCCTCATTCAACTTTAATTTTAGCCGATTACCTCCCTAAACTTTTATAATTAGCCAAATTCCTCACTGATTTTAAAATCTAATTTTCTATCTATTTTGATCACGACGACAACACATGAAAACTATATGAGAGCAAAAAGAATGAAAAATTGGATAGATTAGGGGGGGGGAATTAGCTATTTATAAAATTTTAGGGAGATAATCGTCTAAAGTTAAAGTTTAAGAGGTAAATTAGCTAATTATAAAAGTTCAGAGGCTAATCGGCTAAAATTAAAGTTCAAGGGAGAAATTGGCAGTTCAATACAAGCCCGTGGGACAAACTGACTAATACCTCTTTTATTTAATGAGAAAACACTTGTTAGGCTTCCATGGTAGTTTGAGTGAGTGTGATACTTATATATACAAATTAGACAGTCTGAGTTTGATACTTATAGCACTACACAGTAGTGTGAATTTCATAAATTGGTATTACACTTGTTTATACCATACTTAGAGCCTCTGTATTTAAATATCGTATAAATACTTGGAGGACTCAAATGTAATTATGTAATAAAGAAAGGGGCAAATATGTAAAAAGGGGAGGAGCCCTTATTCTATAAAAGGGCATCCTTACCCTTACAAACCCGAAATCACGAGCCTTCTCACATCCCCTAAGCTCTAAGCTCTCTCAAAACTCTCATTTTCATATTCAGAGCTCTCTTTCCCTCAGAAATACAATATCAGTGTGGACGTAGGCCAAACCTTGAGGTGAATCACGATACATCTTTTGTTATTTACTTTCTTGCAGATTCACGGTCGGATTTACGTTGTTCCAAGACTATCGGTTTTGTGCATCAACAATACTCATGAATTTTAATATATAGAACTCATGACTTACTCAATTTTTCAACTTAGTGTAAAAGTGTGATTCCTTTATAAGTTAAGTATATTGATATTACACTCACTTTTTCTAGCGCATTGTAAAAGACCTTATAAAAATTTACCAAAGTGTGTTTATTTCATGTTTAGTTTTATAAGTCAAGAATATGACAAAAAAAATAGCATCCATCGACCTAAACTGGGAGAGATTTTTTAGTGTCCAGAACATGGCCCTGAATACTATATGTCATTATACAATTAAAGAGATTTGAAAAGAAAAAAAAAAAACTTTCCTTCCGATCATATTATGACATATGATATACCATCTTGTGTTTCAAACACATTAAAAACTTTCTCTTAAACTAGAGATTTTTTTTTATAATTAGCATTAAATTCGAATCGTAATAATTTAGACTTATGTGTCTTCTTTTACGTATATGTCACTACTTAAGTAATGGTATAAGTCTCACATTCACGTGCAAAATACCTTAACAACTTAAACTCATGTGTCTACTTCCATCACAAACAAAATAAATGATTTCATCTTATTTCTCTTATCTTTCAAATCCAAAAAACATTTTGAATGAAATTGCAGGCAATGCTAATTCTCTAAACTACCGTGTCATGTTTTCAAAAAAAAAAAAAAAAAAAAAAAAAAAAAACTACTGTGTCATAGTATGGACCAACTTGGGACGAAGATCAAATTTAGGACCAGAGAAAAATATTGACTAAATGAAAGGGGCACAGATGCAATAAACTCATAAATTTATTAAAGTGCAATTCTTGTTTTGTCCTTGGTCTTTCTTTTCCCCCTTTCAATAAACCAAAGCGAGTCGCACAGGAAAATCAAATTAAGGGAAAGCAATGGAAGACGACGAGACAGAGAGGGGATGCTGGTGGAGGAAGACGCCGCGTCGCCGCGTCGCCGCCGCCGCCTAAGAAGCCGGAGAAGTCGCCCTACGAAATGCTTCAGGACAGCAAATCCTCGGTGGAGGACATAGTGGCGAAGATGATCGCCATTAAAAAAGAAGCCAAACCTAAATCGGAGCTCCGCGAGCTCGTCACTCAGATGTTCCTCAACTTCGTCACCCTCCACCAGGTTCGGAAATCTTTCTAGGGTTTCACATTTATCAAAAGATTAGGGCTTTACGGTTTTTTGTGGTTGAAAGTTGGGGATTTTGTTTGATTGAATTTGGAATTTGCAGGCGAATCGCTCGATCTTGCTCGAGGAGGACCGAGTGAAGGCCGAGACGGAGAGAGCCAAGGCGCCGGTGGACTTGACAACGCTGCAGCTCCACAATCTGATGTACGAGAAGAGCCACTACGTGAAAGCCATTAAAGCTTGCAAGGACTTCAAGTCCAAGTACCCGGACATCGAGCTGCTGCCGGAAGAAGAATTCTTTCGCGACGCACCGGCCAATATCAAGGAGCCAATGCTGTCGAATGATGCCAGCCACGACATTATGCTCAAGAGGCTCAATTTTGAGCTCCACCAGCGCAAGGAGCTCTGCAAGCATCATGAGAAGCTGGAGATTCATAAGAAGGGTCTGTTGGAGACGATTGCAAATCGGAAGAAGTTCCTGTCCAGCCTTCCTTCGCACTTGAAGTCGCTAAAGAAGGTTTCTTTGCTGGTGCAGAACCAGTTGGGGATTCAGCATACCTAGAAGCTCAAGCAGCACCACTCAGCGGAGTTGCTTCCGCCAGCTTTGTATGTAGTTTACTCGCAGTTCATGGCGCAGAAGGAGGCGTTTGACGAACAAATTGAGTTGGATGTAGTGGGGAGTGTGAAGGATGCTCAAGCTTTTACCCACCAGCAAGCAAATAAGGACACCGGTAAGTAATGCTCGACTCTTACGATATAGATAAGGATATAAATTTTGATGTTTCATGTAGGTTTGAAGTTCCCCAATTGAAAACTTAATTTTCGAGTGCTTTGGTTTTTTCTTTGGATTTGGTTTCGGTCAGCTTAGTCTGGTTAAATAAGTACTAATGTTGTGTAGTGGAACAGGCGTTGCTACCAATGTAGAGACTAGTAGGGTGGATGATGCACCAGATGAGGACGATGATGGGCAGAGAAGGAGAAAACGGCCAAAGAGGGTTCCAGTCAAGCAAAACCTTGAGCAGTCAGGATTGTATCAAGTTCATCCGCTGAAAATCATCCTTCATATTTATGATGATGAGGTTTCTGATCCCAAGTCTGCAAAACTTATCACACTCAAGTTTGAGTTTTTGTTGAAGTTGAATGTTGTATGCGTTGGAATTGAAGGATCCCATGACGCAGCGGAAAATAACATCTTATGCAACCTATTCCCAGATGACACTGGCCTTGAGCTTCCCCATCAGGTAGTAATGCCTCCTCTATTTGTTGGTATTTGGTTATATTTGTGCCTCGTCTATCTGATGTCTATTCTATTAAGGGTTCATAATTCTCGTACTTATTTTGTATTGACTAATACAGTCAGCCAAGCTTCTTGTTGGTTATGTTCCTGCATTTGATGAAAAGAGAATTTCCCGTCCATATAAGTGGGCCCAACATTTGGCAGGAATTGATTTCTTGCCCGAGGTGTCACCTTTGCTTGCTGCCCCTGAAGCTTCAAGTGGCGATATAATAGGAGCATCCTTATGCGACTTAGTTAGCTTGTTTTCTTGCATTTATGCTATTACTTCATATTTATTTTAGTATTTTAAGCTATTTTCGTGTGTTTGTAGATCCAAAGAGCTAAAGTAGCAAGAAAGTGCATTTTAGAGCAGTTTTGGCCTTGAAATGATAGCACATGCATGGAGTAAGGATGATAGACGAAATTCAAGACCAAAAGAGGCTAGGATTATGATGAAGTTATAAAGAAAGTAATTCAAGAAAAGGAACTGAAAAGAGGATCCTTAATTATTTTAGTACACTTAAATCATGATTCTAGAAAACCTGTCCCCTATCCCCTTGCCACTTTTCCCTTTCCCTTTCCTTGCCGTGCAAGGCAAATCTGTCTCCTTGCCCTTTTCCTTTTGGGATTATGATTTGTTACCCTTTTCTTGGAGGATTTGGAGTCTTAAGACCTTTCCAATTTAATTTCCAGCCATGCTTTTCCTTCCCTTATAAATAAAGGACCTTGCCGCACCATTCAACCCATCCATTCACACTTTCAGCCATCCTTCACCACTTAAACCATCACCCCCATATAATTCTACACCACATTCAGCCGCATACACACACCAATTCACAACCTTTGCCGCAACTATTGGAGAAGAAGAAACTTTGCCGTGGCTTTCATTGGAGGAGGAGGATTTTGTGCCGCAAGCCACCTGTAACCATTGGAGTTTTAAGAGTTCTTTCTCCCCTCGTTTCGTTTCCATGTTTATTTTACTTTGTTTTTCAATTATTATGAACATGAGGAACTAAATTCCTTTTTAGTTAGAGGCGAATTCGAAGCCATGATCATATGTTTAATATGAATTGATTACTTTCAGTTATTGTTTCGTAAAACATGAATATGATTTACTTATCTGCGTTATTGAGAACTTATTCTTGTGTGTTGATTGAGGATGCATACTTAGTTTGCATGCAGGGATTTGATGCTAAATTATAAGGGAATTTCACCTAATCGTTATGAACTTATAATTAAAAGTAGTGGAGATTGCTAGTCACAATCGTGTTAAGTAGATTCTTGGCAGAAGTATCATGCAGTTCATAGTCACGAATGTCTTGTTAATGCTTATGATTTTCATAGAACTTAATGATCTTTTATATGTATCTCTATCATGCTGTTCATATAGGAAACTTGATGAGAATAATTTGGTTGCGATGCGTTGTCCATTCAATTCAATGAACTTAGGAAAATCTGAAAGTTAATTAGTGCATTCACAATTAATTTGGGGCATTGTCATTTATGGTTTAAAGAAACAATACTGGAATTCGAGTTATGTTGCATATGTTCATGTGTGGAGAAGGATCCTCTAGCTAAGTTTTTACCATTCAATTCACCCAATTTCATATCTAGTTTACTTTGTTTTGCAATTTGGTTAGTTTAATTAATTTCGTCCAAATCAATCCCCCCCTTTAATTAAGTGTGTTAGATTAGTTAGAAAAGTGTTCAAATCTGTCCAATTTAGTGTTTTGAGTCTTAAATTCGTCTAAATAACTCCCTAGAGTCAGTTTTGAGTCAATTTCACTTATTTGTGCTGTTTTGAGTGGTTTGAGTCAGTTTAAGTCTAAGTGTTTCTAAGTTTAGTTTTGTGTTTTTGAGTCATATTTGTGTTTAGCAGCCCTAGTTAATCCCCGGTTTAGAACGATCCAAACTTGCTTAATACAACAATTACAAGTTTAATAGGGTTTAATTTATGTGTCAAGTTAATTTTCATATCAAATTTTGGCGCCGTTGCCGAGGATTAGTAAACTTGCTAATCTCCCTTGTTTGAGTCGCATGTGCTTTCTTCTAGTGTCAAAGTGTGTGTTTGTGTTGTCTCTGTCGTGCCTTATACTTGGTTGCTTAGTTGTGTTTGTTTCTTCGTTTCAGATACTAGTTTATGACTCGTAGTTCTCAACCTGTTAGTGCAAACATCTTGGAGTTCGACGACGATTTTGAACGAACTTTGAAAAGGAAGAGGAAGCAACCAGAACCTAATCCAAGTTCAGAGGCCAAATCTGAATTTGAAGAAGAAGAACAAGTCATGGCAGTGGACAATCGTACAATCAAAGTACTTTCAGCCTCGGGGTTGGACAATGTCGTGCCCCTTTGCATTCAATACCCCATGGCTGCCCAAGGAAAGACCGATGAGTTCGAGTTAAAGTCAAGCTTGCTGCATCATATTCCCAAATACCATAGGTTGTTCATGGAAGATCCAAACAAGCATTTGAAGGTGTTTGAAGTGATGTGCTCAAGCATGACACCCATCAACGTTGATTGGAGTATTTTGAAAATGAAAGCCTTTCCATTCTCTCTTTTGGAAAAAGGCTAATGATTGGTTGTACGAATTGGCACCTGGAACCGTTACTTCTTGGGAAAGCATAAAGAGAGCATTTCTAGAGAAATTCTTTCCAACTTCAAGAGTCATTCTTTTGAGGAAGAGGATTAGTGGAATCCAACAAAACTAAGGAGAATCGTTTCCAGCATATTATGAGTGTTTTAAACGTTAGTTGCATCCTGCCCACAACATCAAATGAAGGAAGAGCTCTTGATTCAATATTTCTACGAATGACTCATTCCAATGGAGAGGCAAATGCTTGATGCTTCAGCGGGAGGTGTTTTGGTTGATAAAACACCGGTGGCTACAAAGATCTTAATTGTAAATCGAGCCTTGAATGCACAACAATATGAATGAGTTGGACAAAGAGACCCCACGGCAACAACAAGTGAATGAGGTAAGTGCAATTTCTGAACTTCAATCTCAAATGGCTAATCTCACTGTTCTTTTGTCTCAGGTTGTTGATGGATCCAAAGTGCAAGGTGCGGCCATGTGTGGAGTGTGCTCTATGCAGGGGCATCTCAATGATCAATGCCCTCAATTGATAGAGAATGGAGGATGGGAAAATGCAAATGTCGTGGGCTACCAAGGTCAAAATCAGTCACAGAATGATCCATACTCTAACATCTACAATTCGGGCTGGAGAAATCATCCAAACTTAAAGTGGAGAGAGCCTCAACAACCTCAACAACAAGGAAGATATAGACAGCCACCTCCGGGGCTCTATCAAAGGTCATTCGCACTACCACAAGTACCACCACAATCTGCCCCAACAAATTCAGGTACGTCGTTGGACAATGATAAAATTCTTCAAGTACTAGCCTCTTTGACTCAGGGAATACAAAATCAAGCTAAAGAGATGGACGAATTGAAGAAACAAATGGGGCAAGTAGCAGAGTTCATGGGACAGTTTAGAGAACAAGGCAAACTGCCTAGTTCAACCATTATCAATCCAAAATGAGGTTTTGAAACCGCTAAGGCCATCACATTGAGAAGTGGAAGAGAGGTTGGAATCAAGCCAAACACGTCCAAATCAAGTCAAAAAGAGGACAAAAGCTATTGCTCAAAGAGGAGGAGATGGACAAAGCCACGGCAAGGGTGGAATCATCCTTACCTGCGAGGAAAATGCACATTTGGTGGAATTATATTAGAATTGGTCGAATTGGGAACAACCTTACTTGATAGTAACGGTTCCAGGTGCCAATTCGTACAACTAATCTTTAGCCTTTTTCCAAAAGAGAGAATGGAAAGGCTTTCATCTTCAAAATACTCCCATCAACGTTGATGGGTGTCATGCTTGAGCACATCACTTCAAACTCCTTCAAATGCTTGTTTGGATCTTCCATGGACAACCCATGATATTTGGGAATATGATGCAGCAAGCTTGACTTCAACTCGAACTCATCGGTCTTTCCTTGGACAGCCACGGGGTATTGAATGCAAAGGGGCACGACATTGTCCAACCCCGAGGCTGAAAGTTCTTTGATTGTACGATTGTCCACTGCCATGACTTGTTGTTCTTCTTCAAATTCAGATTTGGCCTCTGAACTTGGATTAGGTTCTGGTTGCTTCCTCTTTCTTCTCAAAGTTCGTTCAAAATCGTCATCGAACTCTAAGATGTTTGCATTAATAGGTTAAGAACTACGAGTCATAAATTAGTATCTGAAACAAAGAAACAAACACAACTCAGCAACCAAGTATAAGGCACGGCAGAGACAACACAAACACACACTTTGACACTAGAAGAAAGCACACGCGACTCAAACAAGGGAGATTAGCAAGTTTACTAATCCCCGGCAACGATGCCAAAGTTTGATGTGAAAATTAACTTGACATGCAAATTAAACCCTATTAAACATGTAATTGTAGTATTAAGCAAGTAGGGATCGTTCTAAACCGGGGATTAACTAGGGCTGCTAAACACAAATATGACTCAAAAACACAAAACTAGACTTAGAAACACTTAGACTTAAAACTGACTCAAACTACTCAAAACAGCACAAATAAGTGAAATTGACTCAAAACTGACTATAGGGAGTTATTTAGACGAATTTAAGACTGAAAACACTAAATTGGACAGATTTGAACACTTTCTAACTAATCTAACACACTTAATTAAATGGGGGATTGATTTGGACAAAATAAATTAAACTAACCAAATTGCAAAACAAATTAAACTAGATATGAAATTGGGTGAATTGAATGGTAAAAACTTAGCCAGAGGATCATTCTCCACACATGAACATATGCAACATAACTCGAATTCCAGTATTGTTTCTTTAAACCATGACAATGCCCCAAATTAATTGTGAATGCACTAATTAACTTTCAGATTTTCCTAAGTTCATTGAATTGAATGGACAATGCATCGCAACCAAATTATTCTCATCAAGTTCCCCATATGAACAGCATGATAGAGATACATATCAAAGATCATTAAGTTTTATGAAAATCATAAGCATTGACAAGGTATTCGTGACTATGAATTGCATGATATTCCTGCCAAGAATCTACTTAACACGATTGTGACTAGCAATCTCCACTACTTTTAATTATAAGTTCATAACGATTAGGTGAAATTCCCTTATAATTTAGCATCAAATCCCTGCATGCAAACTAAGTATGCATCCTCAATCAACACACAAGAATAAGTTCTCAATAACGCAGATAAGTAAATCATATTCATGTTTTATGAAACAATAACTGAAAGTAATCAATTCATATTAAACATATGATCATGGCTTCAAATTCACCTCTAACTAAAAAGGAATTTAGTTCCTTATGTTCATAATAATTGAAAAGCAAAGTAAAATAAACATGGAAATGAAACGAGGGGAGAAAAAACTCTTAGAACTCCAATGGTTGTAGGTGGCTTGCGGCACAAGGTCCTCCTCCTCCAATGAAAACCACGACAAAGTTTCTTCTTCTCCAATAGTTGCGGCAAAGGTTGTGAATTGGTGTGTGTATGCGGCTGAATGTGGTGTAGAATTATATGGGGGGAGGTGGTTTAAGTGGTGAATGATGGCTGAAAGTGTGAATGGATAGGTTGAATGGTGCGGCAAGATCCTTTATTTATAGGGGAAGGAAAAGCATGGCTGGGAATTAAATTGGGAAGGTCTTAAGACTCCAAATCCTCCAAGAAAAAGGTAACAAATCAGAATCCAAGAGGAAAAGGGCAAGGGGATAGGCTTGCCTTGCATGAAAAAGAAAGGGAAAAGTGGCAAGGGGACATGTTTTCTAGGATCATGATTTAAGTGTCCTAAAATAATTAAGGATCCTCTTTTCAGTTCATTTTCTTGAATTACTTTCTTCATAACTTCATCATAATCCTAGTATCTTTTGGTCTTCAATTTTGTCCATCATCATTGCTCCATGCATGTGCTATCATTCCAAGCCCAAAACTGCTACAAAATGCATTTTCTTGCTACTTTAGCCCTTTGGACCTACAAACATACGAAAATAGCTTAAAATACTAAAATAACTATGAACTAATAACATAAATGCAAGAAAACAAGCTAACTAAGTCGCATAAGTATGCTCTTATCACGATACCACTAAAAATGATTCTGTTATATCTGGTCTGTCACTTTATCGCCAACAGAATCGAATACAGACAGTTGTGCGAAGAATTCGTTCTCGGATAAAAGCTCAGATGGCTCTTGTGTGAGTCACTGCTCAGTATATATAAGGTCTTGAATCATCAAGAACACTCTAGAAAATCTATAGGATAAGGATACTACAATGTGATCAAATCCTAATCTTAGCTCCAATGTTTTGTTTTACTTGGTTGCGATTGCTATTGGCATTTTTCTGATATAAAGTAGCTAATTTGTGTTATGCTTATTTCTTTTAGTGCTTGCCCCTTTCTTTGGATCTTAACTACGTTTTATTTGTCTATAACTTCTATGCAAGACATATTTTCTTTATTTTGCAAGTCCCTTAGTGTTTTGTTTGTGAGTGGTTAGGTATGCCCTATGTTGAGAAGTTGGCATTCTTTGATTGGCTTACAGGGAATAGATTGAATCACTTACGAAGCTTAAATGGTTGTCTTTGTCTTGTGAAAGTGTTCCATGGGCTTTGCATACCCTTTTGTGCAAATTGCATGGTTTTTCATCTGTAGGGCCTCCGCATAATGTGGCATCATCTCTGTCTGTAATAGATAAGGAGCAGAGTCAAGAACCTATGGATGTCAATTTGGTTAGACGGTCTGGTCCTTCAAAGGAAGAGCAGGAGAGTATCAGAGAAGATGGGGAACTTCCATCATTGGTTCCAGCTGCATCCGTTGTCAATGAGAACACACTTTCTCACCATAAAGGAGCTAATCTTGACCACTCCAGACGGCTGTCTTAACTTTCAAAAAGACCTCCAATCAACAAGGCCAAATCCCTAAGTTATAAGAAACATGATGTAGATTTAGATCTTTTTCTGGATACAGAGAGTGACCTGGACGAACCTACACTTGTGCTAGAGAAAGAAAATTTAGCATATGTTGAAAGCTCTGGAAATTCATGGGTGGATTTTGGGGTCAGAGAATATTGTGTTGTTTTGACCCAGAAAATAAACAAGGAAAAGAGGAATATGAAGCTAGAAGCCAAGGTAGCTAATGATTCATGTGGTATATTTTTTCGTGCTTTTGCATCAAACATAAACCTTTTGACATTTTTATCATTTCTATTGCGGCAGATTAAGATTAGCATGGAGTTTCCTTTGAGGCCGCCCTTTTTTGCATTGAGTTTGTGCACTATATCCGGAGAAAACCATAAGGAGAATGATGAGTCTAAGTGCTACAATGAACTTCGTGCATTGGAAGCAGAGGTAAGCAGTTGATAACATAGGAATAACTATCATGAATAAATCAGTGGGGGGCGTGTTTTATTGCACTTTCACAAGCAAACGATCTAGACTGCATTTATTTTATCTGCACCACAACACAGCAATATGATCACCTTACCTTTTTTGCGGTGTATTGATTATGACTACAGTTTTTGTTCCTCTTCAGAACTGGAATTCACAGTTTCCCTTTCATTCTTCTAGGTTAATTTGCATATGGTGAAGATGTTACCTCAAAGTGAAGAAAATAATATCTTAGCTCATCAGGTTCGTTGTCTGGCAATGTTATTCGACTATTACATGGACGAAGCTTCCCCATCTTCTGAAAAGAGACACAATACTTCTGTTGTTGATGTTGGTTTGTGCAAGCCCGTCAGTGGTCAGATTGTTGCCAGATCATTTAGAGGAAGGGATCGGAGGAAGATGATATCCTGGAAGGACATGGAATGCACCTTAGGTTATCCTTACTAGACCTGTAGTTTCAGAATCTGAATATAACAACGCTACTAGACTGCTGGAGCAGCCGATCAGCCGAGTGTTGGAAAAACCAACTCGCTGACAATTAAGTCTTGTTGCTCATTCAAAACATTATTCTTAGTTCATTTTCCACCGTTGAGTAGTATTCACAACTAGGAACGCAATGTATGTGTGAACGTGAAACGACCATATTTTTCTGGGATCGTCAAATTGCATCACTTTGATCGTTTGAGTCTGGAGTTTGTGACGGGTCCAATGATATTTTTAGCTGTTCCTTGGAACTTCATTTTGATCACATATTGCTTTCTGTAACTCAAAAAGTCACTAGTAAAGTTTTGACTTGTGAACTATCTCTTCTCTACGAAACTTGTAAGTCGCCTCATAAAACATGCGTGAGACCCAACATTCTGTAATGTTATGTCACATGTGCAATTAATTTGATTATAAATCTTCATTATGCGTTAACTGTCACCCCCCCCCCCGTCCGGGCTCTCGCCATATCCAGGCTCGACTTCAACGTAGTACGATATTGTCCGCTTTAGGCCTCGACCATGCCCTCAAGGTTTTGTTTCTAAGAACTCACATGAGAATTTACAATGGGATTTATGGTTTTGTTTTTAGTAACTCACACGAGAACTTCCCAATGGATCACCCATCCTGAGAATGCTATCGCGCGAACTCATTCCCAATGGGTCACCCATGATGTTTTGTTTCTGGAAACTTATACAAGAACTTTCCAAGAACTCATTCCCAATGGGTCACCCATGATGTTTTGGTTTTGAGAACTTACACGAGAACTTCTCTATGGATCACCCATCCTGGGAATGCTCTCGCGCGAACTCATTCTCAATGGGTCATCCATCTTAGGAATGCTCTCGCGCGAACTCACTTAGCTTCGGAGTTCCATATACATATAAGGCTTACATGATTCACTCTCTTGGGAGATGTGAGATGTTACATTAACATTCAACCATCAAAGAATATTAGTTTATAAGAAATTGAAGAGATGTAAAAAATAAAAAAAAGAAATTGATTAGCCAAGCGCATCCAAATCAATCGAATACCAAGGAGCATAGCTAAAAATAGATTTGATAAAAAAGTAACAAAAACCAAAGATAACACAAATGGTTTGATGCAAAACTCTCACAAATATGCTGTCAGGATATCTGTTTGACTAACGTAGTAAACTGAACATGTGAAATACTGACCATATTTTTCTTCCTTCCCCTCTTTCTACCTACTCTCACTCCCTCACTCCCTCCCTCCCTCCCTCCCTCCCTCCCTCTTCATAACAATACTCAGAGGAGAAGAATATCAAGTAAATAGATATGTAAAGTTCACAACTACAGCGCACACTAAAACTCTCTCAAAATCTACACCAAAAGACATATGCTCCTTTGAATATGTACAGCACCCCCCATCTAATCACATTCCTCTTGCAGCCCCGACACTTCAAAACGGACCTGTCATTGTTCTTCTCAAGCATCGCTTCTTTCCTCGTTGAAGGTTTATAATCTCCAGGTCCTGCTAAGTGATCAAATTCCAAACAACTCATCAAAAATTATAAAACGTCCATGTATCCAGAGTCATATAAATTGTTAAGCAGCAATTTTAATGCAGTTTTGAGCCTTTTTCAAGTAATAATACTATAGCAACGGGTAACACCAGATTGCAGAAAATTCTAAATTTTGGCGATTTATTAAAGATAATATAGTTCGAGGGACTTTGATAACAAAACTTTTTGGAAAACTGCTCAGGCTCTGGCTAGTTTGAACTGCATAGAAACAATTGAGCAGTTCAGGTACTGCAATGGAGTTGCAAATAAAAAAGAATTCCCAAACAGAACAATCGAAGTACCTGATTCTTCTGCATTTCCACCATTTCAGCCTGTTTTTTCAGCAACTCTTGGTTCTCCTCCTTCAGTTCTGCAACTTCTGCTTCCAATTCCGTTGTGTAAGCCTGGCAGAAGCACAAAGACGAAACAATATAAGAACCATGACCAAAACTACGAGATAGAATAAAATGCAATAATATAGTCATCCTCTTTTTATCCCATGCAGTTCTATTCAAAGCAGAACTAACGTTCGAAGGTGTGGAACTTATTCAGTGCTCTAACGATTCGACATTATTCACACGACTACTTAACGTTATTACCCTTAAAGCAAGCGTTTCCATTACCTTGTAATAAACATGATCCTTAAAAACTTGTCATGACTGTAACTTCTCAAAATCTTTCATCTCTTTGACACGTCGAATCGCTATCACATTTACCATTCTGCCGCATGAATCTTCCATGAAGTTTTGGGATACAAAATGTCATTAGATGATGAATGCAGAAAGGTCAATGTCGAGCAAATTTGATAAGGCGACAACAAGATGAATTTGTTCAATCTTGATGCCGCTGTAAATATATTTTTTTTCTAACCTTCTCCAGAACTACTTTTAAATACTAATCACAGAAAAAAATCTTAACTGCATCTGCGTCCACCATAAGTTTGCTCTATAACTTAGCCGAAAGGACAAAAAATGTATAACTGCTCTATAACTTAAATCTATTAAGATGTTGAACTAAAATCTGATCTTCGCCGAAAGGATGAGAAATGTATAACTGTTAAGAATCAGCTGACTTTCGATTTGAGTTCAGGATCTACTAATCGTATCAAAGCTAGCAGCTTAACACAGATCCTATAAGCTTAAACTTTTAAGATCGCATACACAATCTCTTTAATTCCAAACATACAATCTTTCAAACATAAAATAGTGAGTTGATAAACTTTCACACCTCCATTCAATGGTTCTTTATTTACTTTTTACATTTCACAGAGCTTGAAATTCTGTATTCTCGTAATTAATATCTCAAATTTACTATAAGCTGAAACCGCACATATATGCCTGACAAAGCAGTAAAACAAAGAAGACATATTCACCTGCTTGCGAGCTCTGGACCTGGCAGCTGATTCTCTGTTCTTAATCATTCTTCTCTGCCTTCTCTCAACAACCTTCTCCACAGGCCCGCCGCCCTTCCTCCCCCTAAAACCGCCATTAAACACGTAAGGCACCGGTGACACAGACGACGTATCAGTACCATTACTCTTCTCAATCCCATCAGATGACAACAGGTTCGCAGGTGAAGGCGTCACCACACGAACAGCTCCTGCAGCTCCTAACCCAACCATTCCCATCCCTGAACTCGGAACCAAAGCGCCATTCATACCCGGATCACCGATTCCCATCATCCCACCCCTCATTCCAGGACTACCCAACTGAGCATTGGGTCCCATAGGCAGCTGAGAAGTGTTGTAAGTCACAGGTTGTTGCTTGGGAAATATTTGCTGCTGCTGCTGCTGTGGCAAGTGTTGCTGCTGCTGCTGCTGCTGATTGTGATGCTGACTTGATCTAACCCCGTTAGCATTCAATGGCAAATTCGAACCTTGATGATTATTGTTCTCAGAAACTCGATTCCCCATCACACCAACACTGCTATTCGGTTGCTGGAACTCGAATTCCAAACTACCAGAATTACCAAAACGAGACAAATCACCAAAAAAACCAGCACCATTAGGCTTTGGAGCCACTTGTGCATCTTCTCTCACAACCCCAGCTCTAAACAAAAACTCCTCCAAAGTCATCTCCCCCAAAGTCGGCTGCCTCTGAGGCATATTAGACCCGCCGGCACCCGTTCCTTCTTTCGAAAGGTTCTTCCACACCTCATCCACAGTTTTCTGGCTCAGGGTCCGGGGTAGGGTCAGAGAGCCCTGCCTCTGAAGAGACCCCCCACTGCCGTGGTCAAGCCCGTCTTGGCCACCAGCGCCGCCGGCAGCCGGTGCTATAATCTGAGTCTCTTCAGCCGTCCATATGCTCTTCAAGAGCTCATCCATGTTCATAGACCCAAAATCCTTCCCTGAGCCTCCAATGGTGTTCTGCAGCTCCTCAAACGTCAGCGTATAGATCGACGACTGCCTCGCTATCAGCGGTTCGTTCCCAAATCCCTTGAAGTTCATGTTGCTTCCCATTTTCTGTGAAATCTGAGCCAAAAAACAAAGACCCAAAAAAAAAATACAGTTCAGATATTTACTTGCACTTTCTTTGACTGTTTTACTAAAAGAGCTTCCCTTCAGCTCACGGAACTCAACAGTGTCAACTTTCACCCATAAAAAAACAGAGTTTGAAGAACACAGACCAAAATCTCAGCTACCCCTCATCAAATTTCAGTCGAAGCTCATATTTTTTTCACGAAAATACGAAAAATCTGCCTAAAAAAAGGTATCAAAATTCAATTTTTTGCAAAAATAAAAAATCCCCAGATCGAAAAGCACAACACTTAACACATATCAGCAACACACAGCAAGAATCAAGAAGTAAAGACTGAAATTTTGAGGAACCCTATTATACAAAAGCATTAAAAAAGTAAAAATTATAATTTTAGATGAACAAAAAAAGGAGGAAGGGGTAGACAGAATTGGGTTTTTCTTCTTTTTTTTTATCTTTTTTAATTTACCTTGTTACTATTTTTGGTAAAATGTGTCCGGTGGCTGCGGTTCCTCCTCCTTCTTAGGGCTCTGGTGGAAGCGCCAAGTGTCTGCTGCTCCTTTGCCCTTTCGCCTTAGCCTTTTAAGACACCCGGCAGTGGGGAGAGTGGGGGATTATTATTATTAGTTATTACTAAATTATTAAAATAATGGGCGGCGTGGACCAATCAGATGAGAGTGGGAGGATTTGATTTGACCGCTGACCAATGAGGTTGTGCGATGTGGAAGGATCTGGACCGTCCGGGTATTTTCGAATGGAGGGCCGGATTTGTTGGTTTGCATTTTGTTAGTGGTGGAGACGGGATAAGAACAAGTGGGTTGCAGTACACTCACAGAAAAAGAGGTTGGTCCACTCACGTTAGGTCAGGGCATTTTCGTCCACAACATTAAATTTCTATATTTTTAGGGGTTTTTTTTTTTCCTTGTTTGGTGCACGTGAAAGCGCTGAACCGACAACGGTAGGTCTTCAGGACAAAATTTCAGATATTTTCGTAGGAAAAAATCTGTAATTTCAGTTTGATGTTGTACGATAATACCCTTGTAATTATTCGTAATTTTCAATAACAAGCTCGGAGCAAACTGAGATAAGACTTGAAAGTAAAAGCCAAAATAAAAAGAAAAAGGAAGAAGAGGTTGGGGAGAGAGAAAAGCATGCTTAAACATTTTGGTTGCCACCGACCCCAACCAAAGAAAGTGATCGAGGGTTGGGGGAGAAAAAGTTTTGGTTCGTTTCTACATAAGAGAGATAGGAGAGTTTGAGACTTAGATATCGTTTGGTAATTGGTATGCAGACGAAATAGGACGGGACGGAACAGAGAAGAAGTAAAGATGCTTTCAGATGGAAACAAGGAGAAAGAAAAAGGAGACGAAGAGGCTATAATTTTGTGTTCCACGAATATGGAACGAGTCGTTCCAGGGGATGAAGTGGAACGAAAATTCACCAAAAACTCGTCCTATAAAACAACGCGTTTGACCCGTTTTAGGTGCACTAAACGTGCTACGTCCCAGTCCGTTCCATCATGTCCCACGTAACAAACGGTACCTTACATACATTGTTCTCTTTCTTTTTTAGTTGTGCACTACCTATTTTTTTGTAGTCCTGGATTAATTAGATCAAAAGGATATAAAGGAACGTAAAATAAAAAGTGTTGAAAGAAAATTGAGGAACTAAAAAAAAATGAAGAAATAAATTTCATACTCTTTTTCCTTTTTTACACTTCTGTTATTTTATTTATTTATTAATTTTTGCAAGGGTAGTTATGTTCTTTGATTTTTTTTATTTATTAAGGCCAAAAATAAAGTTGATAAAAGAAAATTAAGGTATTTAAATAAAAAAGTACAAAAAGAAAACAAGTGAAAATCATTTACTCAAAAGAATGACTGAATTTTTTTGGTCGAATAAATTAAAACTTGAACTAAAAGTTCATTTGAAGCGAAAAAGATAGTAGACATGCATGATCTAGTAGTTTAGATGTTAGCTAGATATGAAAAAAAAAAAAAAAAAACTAATTCATATAAAGGAGTGTTTCAAAAGGTTGTGGACTGAGTGCATGAGCCAGCCCAATAATGATCCACCAAAAATGGTAATACTGATCTATCAAAAATAAAAGAAATTTTTCGGTATACCAGAAACACATTTAGATATACTGAATGTTATAATATAAATAATTAAAATTTTATTTCAAGTATTCAATCACTTATTTTATGAGATGTTTCAAGTTACACTAAAAAATCTCTAAAAATAGGCCGAATGGAAGCATACACTAACCTTGATTTCCGAAAGGGACAAAAAAGGTGCTTGACCCTTCGCGGGTATAATATGTTTTATGAGGAGAATGATTATACAAGTCCCCTAACTGCAGTAAGTATTTTCGATCAAGTAGCATCCAGTCTTATTTGTATCTTGTACTGACGAAGATTTTTAAATTACATTTTACGCATCAATCATACTTTAATTAGAACTTGTTATTTACGGAATTGTGAATTAAGTACGTAATTAGTGCTATGTATTAAGACCAAGAGTATTGAAACTGAAGGTCAGAAGTATTTCATACAATAATATTTTTTTTTTAATTTGATTAGAAAAGTGAATTTCGTATAATTTAATTGATCCTTACACTGTAGCAAATGAAGAAAGTTAGAAGCTCATGGCAATCCAATCTCATTGTCTCACCCTACTACTGTTACAACCTTGTTAAATAATCAACGGTCGGTGTGGGTTCTTTAGACTTTGAGTGTGTGTTCATAGTCATGCAAACTTTTTTTTTTTTTAATCTAAGAAAGTTCTAGTTCATTCTGTCAAACTATATTAATGTTTTGCCAGTTGTTTGATAAACTTCTAAATGTAGGGATTGGACTTGATACATTGAAGAAGTTCAACATATTTTGTCTTAAAAATCTCTTCTAGAAGGGATGAGACTATAAGATTGTCTTCGACTCAATTTTACTCTTGTGTTATCATACGACGTCAATTTTTTGAATTTAAGAAAGTGTGGGTTTGCGAGGTTCATAATAAACTACTATTCTGACCGTTTTTTAGTAAACTTATGAATGTATGCAATTGGTATATTAAATTGAACAATAGTTTGACATAGTATGTCTTACAAATCTCATATAAATAAACGAAATTGTAAAAGAATGATTCCGACTCAATTCCAATCTTGCCCAGTCCCGACTAGCAAAAACAATTGCGATGGCCATAAAAGTGAAAAATGCTACCATGTATTTTTCTTATATAGTGGACTTTTCAAGTGAAGATGCTGATGTTGGTGGAAGTAGTGTTTTTGCTTGTGGACTAAGGCCATTTATGCAAAGGTCAATTAGTACTTAGCTATCCCACCTACGAAGCATGCACTTTGATTCTTTTTAGGTAAAGGTAGGCACGTATAGTGCTGGCACTAAACAATTCATATAAAAAAATTCAATCCATAAACATCATAGTTGCTGCTGGCAGTCGAGGATTGGAAGCAAAGAAAATGGAGAAAAGTTGTCGAGCATGTGCCCTCCTCCCTAAAATATTTCCTAAATTGAACACTTTGGTGCAATGCTTACTTATTTGGTTTTCCCCTTTTGGGTTGGAGTCTTTATCCTTTGTGAAAGTTTAGTTTCAAAACATGATTAACCAAGTGTATCTTCAGCGTGAATTCTTGGAACAAAACTCAACAAGTTATGATTAAGAGAAATGATTTCGGCTGCGATGTTTATTCATTCAAAGGTCAGAAATATTCAAAAGTGGGCATAAAGAAAGAAAAAGGAGTGCGGAAATCACATATGACGATAATGCAGAAATCACTCCTGATTATAATATACACCTATTACAAGAGCAAAACTAATAACTGGTGATAGTAGTGCCTATAGTTTAGGTTAGGTGGTGACGAAACAAATGTTATGGATGACATAACTGATTTATTACTTTGTTATATATACATTTCTGTTAATATAGAAGAGTAAACCCGTTTAACTAACAACTATATATAAACGCGTTCCTATTTGATATGAATTCGCATAGCAGAAAACCCTAAAATGAAAAATGAAAGACTTGTAAATTCAACTAGTTGTCACTCATCTGCCTATGCGTCTATCGCAGTCAAAAGAATTCTCTAGGTGCCAGTTATTTTAATTAGCATCCTATCATTGTTAGAAGTAGTTGTAATTAGCAACTTTTTAAGAGTAGTTGGAGTCTTTGGCTTAAAAAATGGTAGGGTTTTATTAGCAAGTAATCTTTGTTCATGGTATGGTGCCACGTTCCCTAAAACAAATCCACAATTTTGGAGAAATAAAGAACACATAAAAAAAAGGCATAAAGTATTGCTATTGCTTTCGTAGATGTGAGTTCATAACTGCGCAATGCATACGTGTTGTTTCAGTTCAAATGGGATGAGGCGGAAGCACATTGAAATTAAGGTGATTTCATTATTAAAAAATATACACGTCTCGTAGACTTTTTGAATGTTTGGTATAAGTCTTTTTACGCTTACTAAGTGCTTGATATAATGCATATTAGGTATATTTTGACAGCACTCAGCATATTATGTTGAGTGAGCTCGACAAATTCTCTTTATAACACCAGTCAGATTGCTTTGGCATATTGTCGATATTTGTTGACATGTGCGCAACATGATTCGGTTGACAACAACATGTCCATCAAGTGTTTGACGAAATGCCTCGACGAATAAGCTGATTTTGTTTGCATGTTTCGCGTTCTGCTTCTATCTAAAAAGACTTAAACTTTTAACATTAAGACCCTTTAACGTTCGAAAATTGAATCCAGCATTGCTCATGGTTAGTGATTAGTGGGAACGCAACAGTTCAAAGTTCAAAACCTCATCCCATCCAATTATTTCTTGGCCAAGTGAAGCATCGGATTTAGTTGTGGGAGAACAAAGCAGCAGTTGGTTATTTTGGTATGATAAGATTCAGAATTGATTGATGCACTCCAACTCCAAAGGATTAGAGAAGATGACATTTACAGCTGAGGGTGCTACTAACTTTCTCGGTCGGACCTTCTCGTTTTATGTTTTTAGATGTGATTAAACGATTATAGATTTAGTTGATTATCACATAGTTGATTTTTAAATATGACCTAGAAAATAAATAATTAGATCATTGTGCAACATTAGAAAATATGAAGCAGAGCCGTAAAGGTAAAAGGAGAAGATTCGAATGAAATATTGCTACTAGCAGTTCTATTACATTTTACACCATCTATAAGAGAATTTGTCTTGTAATTAGTTGCATATTCTCTTGTAATCACGAGAGAGATAGACACAAATATACAACTGAAAATATCTAAGGTTTGCACATTTACCTATAACAGAAACAGATATGATAGTTGTTCATGTAACGCTCATCACATGACCTAATGTGACATGACTTTGGGCTTGTTGGTTCGTCTATCGTTTGCTTGGCACTTGGCACTGATCGGTTGAGGATCACCCCAGTGGTGACACGAAACTGAAAGCGTAGGTAGGATTGAAATTCTCTCGATATCCTTGTCGCTGGATTTGGAACAGACGATAATGATACGAGACAGCTGTTGGTTGTCGACTGTGATGCTACCAATCTGGTTTCTTCTGCCGGGAAATTCGTTAATGCAGTTATAACTGTTTTTTGCTTCTTGTTTATTTTCTCATTAATTGTGAGGGAAAAAAATCTCAATGTTGCCAATTTTGAAGATATACAAGTTTTGGATACTTTGACGGGTGTAGCATGCCAATTGTCTATTAACAACCCCATATTTTGTTGTCGTGTAAAGATAAGTATTTCGAGTAGGAGTGAGCACAATTCGGTTCACTTCACACTTAAAATCGAAAACTAGAGAAAATAATATAATTAACTTAATTCTATGTTAGGTCGGTCTAATGGGTTCTGTTCATTTTAGAAAAGAGAGGGGGGAAGAGAATGGAGAGAGAGATGGGAACATAAAAAGTGGTGAAAACAGAGGAAGAGAGTGAAGAGAGGGAAAAATGTACTTAACCGCAACGGAACTATGATTAGCATGGTTCATCATGAGTTACTCCTAATGTGACTCCCGAATCACTGTGGTGACTGGAAAACATAGTTTAGAGTTTTGAATGTGCTAGGACAATCGTGCACGTGCATGAGGGACTCCCCAATCATTGATGCAAGTGTTAGCCTCGATGCATCAATGATTAGAAGCCACTCGCGTGATTGGGCGATTGTTCTAACACTCCTCTCAAACTACTAACCGCCGGAACATAAGCATAACCACTAGCTTAAAGATTTCATGGTCCAATTTAACCAAGATTACTTCTTAGCTTATGCACACCAAATGAATAATTTTGTAGAGAGAACAATAACAAGCCAAATACAATTTTATTCACCACAGCATTTAGCCTCACATTTTTACTGAAGTCGCATCATGTACCTTCAAAGAATTTACCATATTTACTACTGCTATTTTCCAACATGCGATGGCAAGTGCCTTCGCCCATGAGCGGTAGGTCTCGGGTTCGAAACTTGGGAGCAGCCTCTCCATAAATGGGGGTAAGGCTAGCCGACATTCATCTCTCCCAGACCCTGCGTAAAGCGGGAGCCTTGTGCACTGGGTACGACCTTTACTCTCTAACAATTTAAAATTGACATATAACGAGAAATATGGAACGAACAAAAAAATTTCCTTGACATACAGTTATACAAAGTCAGAGGATTCGACAAATCTAGCTTCATAAACCGCGTCTGCGCTTTCGGAAATGTCTGAGAATGAAGCTGTCTGCGTATAAAGGATAGTTCTTCCTTATCAGCCCCTTTATGCATTTCCAATATGAAAAGTCGACTAGTGTTCCGTCCTTTTGAACAATGAACAAACATCTTGAGCTTTCAAAATCAGGGTGATAACCAACCTGTCAACTCAAAATGAGAAAAATGGATCACATGAGAATCAGATTTACTTGTAATACAAATACAGCATGCTTGAGAAAAACCCCAAATCACTCATCTTTGATGAAGTGTTGAATGCAGAAAAAGTTTTTCGTATTTGGCTTTAAATTTCGAAAATGACTACCTGAAGCCAAGTTCCATCATTTTAAAAGCATGTATACTTCTCAATGCCCTACGATCCTTTTGGGATACTAGAGGTTGATTAGCATTACTTCGGTCAATTCATTATATGCCTTCTAAACACCATACACTAACATGTAACAGTTCTTACTTATCATTCACTGGTAAGCCATATAAGAAACAATGCAGATAACTAGTTCTCTAAGGGGAACTAGAGAGATTGAGCTCCAACCACCTTCCACAATCAAGTGATGGAGGGTAAAACAGTCCCACATTGGAGTGTGGTGTGGGAGTTTGTGGAGGGGAAGCGATATTAAAATATGACGAAGGGTGAAGATAACATTCATCGCCTACACCATCCCCAAGTTCCAGTAGCTCAGTTGGGAGGATAAAAGGTGGATGATGTTTAATGAGCCAGACTTGAATCAAAGTTACAGTTCAAAATTAGTAAAAAACCCGAAAGCAATCAAGTCTGATCATCGCCAAAACAGAAATGACAAGCAACATAGGAGAAGCTATCCAGAAACAGGCATATCCCAACAAATGCCATTCATGTTTCTCTAGATGCTCAGTTGCCAAAATCCTCTCACTTATAAGCACTTCTATAGTAAATTAAAGTCATTGGGATCAAACGAAAAATGAGCAATCAAGTAATCAATCATCAGAGTTGTAAAGCAGCTTAATTTGAAAGCAGCCTAATTCAAAAGCACCAAAACACTAAAATGGGCAATCAAGATTAAAGACCAATACCCAATAATCAAAATTGGCACCCCAAACACTAAACCCCAGAATTGCAGAGCAGCTTAATTCAAAAGAAGCTTAAACCAAAAGCAGCTTAATCTGAGATAATCGAACAAAGAAACAGAAGATACCGTGATATAATCGATTCCAGAACCGATCTTCTTCTTAGCTTCAGGATGAAACGGAAGCAACCTTTCGAGAACAGTCTTCTGATGCTCAGGACTCAATCTATCTCCGCTCTCGTACTTCCCCGAATGAAGAATCATCCTCACAAACCCTACCAGCGGAACTGTATCCTCCAAAATCTTATCCTCCCAATCGACCCACTTCCCATCTTCTCCCCCATCTTCCTCCGAAATCCCGTCCATGTCCTTCCCGGACGACACCACCGGCTTTCGGAGCAGTCCCGGGTCGGGCCCCTGCGTCCCGGGCCTCCCGATTCTGCTGCCCCCGTCGGGTCCCGTCTTCAGGGCGCAGGGGCGGGGGTGAGGCAACGTCGTATTGAGGAAAGGGAAGGATAGAGTTAGGGGGCAGGGGTGGAGGGTGAGGGAGTTTATGTGGCGGAGGAGGAGCGGCGGTGATCTGGAGAGAGATGCCATGGCTGTCGCGCCCTGAGGTACTGTTGCTATGACTAAAAGGTACTTTTTTTAGTAAGCACTTTCTCTCATCTGATCCTTCTTCAGAAGTTGAAGGCTTGAAGACCCATCAGTCATAGTCAGCGTCTGAAGATTTTTAGCAGATAAACAAGGAAATGCCCGCGAGGTTCCCCACTCTCCACCTCTGTTTCCGGATTTTGGGCCGAAAGCCCTGGCCCAATATAAAATCACTAAAATCCATACCCATACCCATACCCTCTTGCATTTTGAGCTTGGATTTTTCTCTTCTGGTCCGAAGACCATCAATTGCGAATTGGAGATGCTTGCTGAAACGGGACGCCCATTTCGTTCAACCGAAAAGAGAAATCCATTTGGGCGTAAATGAAACCTGATACGCATCAGTCGTGGGGGACAAATATATACCGTGGTTCTAAAGGATTCAAATCTCAGTATTTGAGCACAATGCCTCTATGAATTGCACCGGAAACGATAAACACACAAACTTTTAACATCTCACTTCATTATGATCATTGTTTTCGTTTGATTTATTTAATTCGACAGATAAAAATAAAAAAAGTGTGTATGAAGCTAAAAAAAGGTGTGTGCAACTTAGCTCCCATTGCCTAAAATTGCAATACATTGTGAGGTAATTACATTTTACCACCTTGAAGTGTGCTTCATATAACGCTTTGCATCATCTTGTTTTAAATTTCTAATTTATATCAGTGATATTTCACATTAAATTAATTCGGACAACGAAAATAGAAGTTTAAACTTGGATGTATAGGGAGAACACATTTATTTATCCAATTTGACCATGCCCAAGCCTTCAATCTTTTTAGCCATCATGTTAATCTTAGCAAATTATGACGTTTATTTTAATAGTATTATTAAATAATGACGTAGCTCACTTGAGATTCTGTTTTTGCTTAATTAAAATTGCATGAACGTCTCGTGAATCAAAACATTAATAAAAAAATTAAAAATAACATAATTGCTAACTTTTATCAAATAAGGCAGAGATGATAAGCTTGTGTCATCTTTTAGCAGGAATGAGAATAAATATGGCATCCATCACTGCAGTGATCTTTAATTCTGCTCCGTTTAGAGAATGTCAATTAAATTTTTAAAATTCAACTCGACCCGGTTGAATTAAAAATGAAAAACCTTAAGAGATGTGAGTGAAAGATGTCCGAATCAATCAACAATGGACAACAACTAAGAACATTTTATTTTTTGGTTTTATCATATATGAAAATTTGAACAAGGAAAAGATATACAGAATTGATCCAGAGAGCAGCACCATTCATAAGCCCTAGCAAAACTCCCAGAGAGCAGCACCATCAACGTTTTTTACGTATCCATTACTCTATCCGAGATTCCAAAACGCTCAATAAAAACCCTCGTCATCCGTCGAAGCCGGCATCGGCTGCTGGGACCTCCGCACACGCGCCGAGCAGCTCCGCTACAAGCTCTGCGCCTCTCCGCCTCACGGCCTCATCTGCGTCGGCGAACGGTTCCTGGCCTCCTCTCAGCTCTGCGAGCATTCTGCCTCCTCTGGCTCTGTCCAGTACTGGTCCTGGTGCAAGGTAAGATCACCTCCTTTCTTACGCACACAGCCTGTTTGATGAACTGCCTCAACTGATAAAGCTTGCATTTTTATTAAATTTTGGGATTTTTGATGTGCAGCCGCAAGTTGATGTCAAGAGTTTCCCAGTAGAACCGATCAATCCTTTCGCTGCGAACAGCGAAGGCACGTCGGGGAATATCTACTTGTGGAAGGTTAACTTTCCTAATCATTTATTTTCACCTCCTTGAATTTATCTTTTTTTGAGCTCTGAAATGCCAATGAACATTTTTTTTTTTGTATTTATTAAGGTTAATACTGGTAGACCGCTTAAGAAATTGCATGCTCACGACAGAGGTGTTAGTTGCTTGGTATTTTTGGATGATGGCTCCCTGCTGATTTCGGGGTTGGAGAATGGAGGCATTAGAGTTTGGTCTCTTATAGGGTAACCATTTCTTATCGTATATTTTTGTATCTTTATATTGCTTTTAGTTATGCACTGTAAACGGTTATATCTCTATCCGTTGAAGGTATGGCGTGGCCTTTAGTAAATTATAAACTGTATTTGGTATGATAATAATGTTTAGTAGTGGACGGATCATGTACTGAACAATGATGCCAAAGTTAGTTAAAATGGGGTCTGGATAGTATAAGAGAAAACGATTCATGAATTCCCCATCCACGTATGGATTGTTTGTCTTGACTTCTTGATCTTTTACTTTCTTAAATGCTTAGATTTATATTCTCAATTTTTCGGTAATTGTACCCTCAATATCTATTGCATGTCTTTTGCCTATTATGTATTGATGCATTCTTATTCATCCCACAAAAAAACAATGCATTCTTGAAATTGCATGTTTTTTTATAATTTTGATTTGGAAGTACATTTCTTAGGTTTGGAGAGTAGGAAGTGGGAGAGTATTGAGAAATATTGTTTTCCCTACTATAATTGAGCCATCGCACTGGATCCTGGTGAAATGTCTTCTTTGCCAGTGGTAGAGGTGGCAAGGACGTTGGTGCATTAGTGTGCTTAGTTAGCCCGCTTGTTGCATCATCACAGAATTCACCTTTGCAGTTCTAGTTACCTTCTAATTTGTTATTGTTTTAAAGTACAGGCACTTTTAGACATTCTGGCGAACTGAATCGAGGAACATTCATTTTAGTGTATTTTGAATGAGCAAAACTCATTTAATTCACAACTTTGTACTTTTGACTCTTGAACAGCAAAGTTGTTACTTGCTTAGCATATGGCATTTCTGGAAATTATTTGATTTCTAGATTAGAAGATGGCGTGGTCCGACTTTGGGATGCTAGAACTCATAATATTCTTCGCGTGTTCAAACACACAAAAGGTTATCTCAATTCTATTTGAATTATTTCCTTCCCCGGGTTTATGCATATTGATGATATTGAAGCAAATTTAGCTGATTTAGCAGTATGTTTTGTTTGTTCAAAGATCTCAGTCAATCTGCCAAACTTTTGCTAATTTGTTTAGTATTTACATAAAATTTGCACTGTACTCTGCAGGTCCAGTGAATAATATTCTAGTCGTTCGACAACACTTTTCTGAGAAATATTGTTCGACACACACGCTTTTGATGATCTTCATTCTCCCCGAAAGCAAAGGAAAAGACCATTATGCTGAAATCTGTAATGCAGCAGCCAACCACCGGTCCTACTAATGCATGCAGGCTTCTCTCCCTTTCCATCTCATTTCCTCTAAAGAGAAAATGCATTAGCCCTGCGTCCATTAGCAGCACTCGCAACAGTCAAGCGGGTATGATTAACGAAAAATTCAAAGGGTCAACGAAACATGCATGCATAAACTAAACACCCCAATTAATTTTGAGATTACCTGTTTCTGCACTCTTCCTTTTCGATGATTTTTGCACCCGCGCAAAGTCAGCTTCAATATAATGGTTTTGGTTTATTTCAGGCAGCATTGTTTTTACACCCTGTAACTAGTAGCAGCTAAATCAGACGACTGGAGGGTCTGCAAAATTTTGTGACTATAAACTATTACTTTCTTGCATATAATTTTGGGTTTAAAGTTGCTTATAGTCTCAAATCCAGAGATTTTAAAAGTAAAATAAAACTAGAGCATTGCAAATCACAACATTGGGAGAGGAGGAATCGTACTCTGGGACCTGGAATATGGTCTTAACCGAGTTACAAGTCCCTTGCAACATTATATATGCAGTTATGCTTGTCTAGTTGGAATCTTGTCTAGTTGGATTGATGTAAAATGATTAGAGTGAGTTGGTAAATAAATAGAAAAGAGCTTAATTACCAGAAGTGGAAGGCCTCTCTCTCATGCAACTAAACAGCATCCTCTGTTTCCACTATGCCTGAAGTGGAAGGCCTCTCAGGTAACTCAACTACATCCTCTGCCTCCACTATGCCTTCACCCTTGTCATCAGAATCAGAATCAAGTGGCAGATCGATTTCGATGTTGGGGATGTGAGAAATCTTGGGCCACTCCTTTCCTCTGCCTCTTCTGCAACCTCGTGCAAGAGTCGGAGAGTCCTCGATGTCAAGTGTCTGAAGTGGTGTTTTCCGCAAGAAGTCTGGGAGTGTTTTTAGCTGACTGCAGTTCCAAAACTCTAAAGAAGACAGGCATGGCATTATGGTAATATGAGAATCCTCTTCCTTCCACTCTGCCACTCCTTTCCACTCTTCCCACGCCGACATGTTGTAAAATTGGAGTGATTTCAATTTTGGGAATAGAGTAATGCATGATGATGCTGATGACGTTTCCTTTTCTATTCCCAGAAACTCAACTCCAACCTTTTTTACTCCTTTCATACTATAGAGCCACAACCTTTCGAGGGACGGCAATTTTCCCAAAGGAGGTAAACCTTCACATTCTTTCCATCTATAAAGAGTAAGAAATCTCAAATTGTTTAATGACATGATCCAGTTAGGGGCAGTGCTTCCATTATACCCTTCAATATATAAAGATTCCAAATTTGGATGCGGTCGTAAGAAATTCAGTATTTCCGCAGTTCCACACTCCTCAAACTCTATACTCAATGTTGAGAGTTGTTGTTTGTTCCCCAGGGGTGATGCTTTCTCACCTTCACCCGCAACAACTTTCACTTCCCCATAAATACGTATGCTGAGTTCACCCTGAAGTTGGTCTAAGTTTCTCAAATCTCCCAATTTGAACGCTTCATCGTCGTCTTTACCACCGCCAACACGGCACCGATCTAGTCTTCTTAGATTTGTTAATCTCCCAATCCCTTTCGGCAAGTACTTCAGCTCATCGCAACCCTCAACATAAAGATGCTTTAAGTTAATCAACTTTCCCATGCTCTGAGGTAGACTTTCAAGTTTCCCACACCAATTAAGGCGAAATGTTGCAAATTGTATAAATTACACACCCCATTCGGTAGCTTTTTCAAACCACGACTGTAAGACAAATCAAGAAACCTCAGATGCACCAATCCACCTATCTCCTCCGGAAGCTCTTCAATAGAATTACCACTCAAATTCAATGTCCTAAGATGTTTCAACTGTGACATCAAAGTTGAGTCCACAACGGTGAATTTTGAACCAAAAGTTGCAAGAGTAAGCAGATCAGTTTTGTAGCTGGAAAATGAAACATGTGGAAATGGACCCTCGGGAGCAAGCAATAGGGTCAAATGACGAATCTTATCACCCAAGGACTCTATTGTATAGTTACCACCCTTAACCTCCATTGTAAAGCATTCATTTTGAGTAAGAAACTGTAGAAAGTCGTGTACAATATCATGCATTTTACACATCCAGATATTTCCATCATGATCTTTTTCAAAGTCTTGGAAGAAAGATCGCATTACTAAATTATCAAAACACCTTTGGCCAATTATTTTCTTCTCTATTTTTCCTTTCGAATAGAGATAATCTTGTGACATCCACAATTCAATCAAATGATCTTTATCGATCTCATGATCTTTTGGAAAAATAGCACAATACAAAAGGCATTGTTTGACCATAGGTACCAAATCAAAATAACTCAGTAACAATGGTTTGAAAACTTGTTCCTCAACATCGTCCAGCTCCCATATCTTACTATTCAAAACTTCTTGCCATTCTTTCCTCGTTTTCTTGTCACGCATGAGACTACCCAGAGTCTTTGCAGCAAGAGGCAAACCTTCGCACTTTTTTGAAATTTTTTCACCAATGTCTCCCAACACACTATCCTTTTCCCCATTTAAAAATGCCATGTAGTTGAATATTGACAAACAATATTGTTCGCTCAACCTCTCCAAATAGATCGTGTGAGCGGGAGCTCCCATCATATCAACAACCTCCTGTTTTCGAGTGGTCACTAATATTCTACTGCCTCGAGCGCCACTTTGCATTAATCGCAAATTCAATTTCTCCCACCGTTTTGAGTCTTTAGTCCACACATCGTCTAAGACAAGGAAAAACTTTTTTCCCTTTATGACTTCAGACATACACCGAAACAAATCTTCCAAAGTATTTGAATTTGGGATGACCCCTTCGGCACCAGAAATGATGGCTTTGGCAATTTTGTTCACATCAAAAGGGTCCGAAACACAAACCCATATTTTGATATGAAAATAGGCTTTAACATTTTCATCGTTAAAAGCCAGTTGGGCCAGAGTTGTCTTCCCCATTCCTCCCATCCCGACAATAGGGATGACAAGAAGGCTCCTCTCTTCTTGACTACTCTCATTCAACAACTTGCTAACCAAAACTTCCTTTTGTTGTTCTCTACCAAATATGATAGATTCATCAACAGAAGAATCAGTTTCGACTCGCTCAGGTTGTTCAATGATAATTCTCTCCATGGATTGAAAGTTATATGTTTGTCTGCGCTTAGCAATCACATCTAAATTTTCATTCAGACTTTTGATCTTAAGAGCAATGTCACGATGAAGAATTACCCGACTGGCTTGCCGGAAACAAAAGCAAGAGGAGGGAATAGAGAAACATACCGCCTTCATCATCTCAGTAACAAGACAAGTACTTCCACAGTGCTCTTCTTGTTTCTCAACTTTTAGTTTCAGTATTTCAGTGTTCCACTCATCAAGCACATTGTCCATCTTGTACGACACATCTTTCAGCTCCTCGAGCCATTTTCTTACGCGTTTCTCCTTCACCTGCCTCTGCTCCGCATCCTCAAGCACAGCACCAATCGCTTCAAGGTTGTCAGCGAATTCTTTAACATCTTTCTCCGCATTTAAAACCAGCTTCACCTCTTCTTCGACGTATTGGTAAGTTACCGAAGCCAATTTTTCGAGCAGCCAAGAAATGAGTGCTTCAGCCATCTTTCGGTTAGCAGTGGAAACAGAGAAAACCAAGAGATCTGAACTGAGAAAGTACAGGATCAAAGGTTGTGGTATCACAGTTGTTCTTCCCACCACCACTTGAGCTAGAGATGTTGCTCAGATGGATGCGACAACCGACAAATAATAAAGTGGTGGGGTAGAGGTGAGTCATCCCGCACTCATTTGTTCAACTTGACTTGTATTACAGCCATACATTGGTCCTCTTTCCTGTTGTACGATTGCACTCAGGAGTCAGGACAGCCACACGAATCAAACAATAATTGAGATAGCAGATTCGCGTATAATACATGTATTATTACGTATATCTTACGTTTAATACATGTATTGTTTTTACTCTTTGCCCTCTGTATTTTTAAGCACATTCGAATTTTATCTAGGACAGTGTTATCCGAACATCTACTTTTATTTTTTTTATTTCGATTTTTTACTGTTAGAGAAAGAATTGAAGAAAATTAACTGTAAAAAAATTAACAAAAATGTGTAGAATGTAAAAATAAACATGTAAATAGCACTTTCCTTTATTTAAGATAAGAGCAAAAGACAAGTCCTTGCTATGGTTATTTGACTTTGATATATATTAAGTCCCTGTGGTTAACTGTTGTTTTGTACTAAATTTAAACAAACAACTAAAGCAGTAGAGACATGAAAACAAAACAAAACCTCTGTAATTAAGAATTATTTCTCCTAATTGTTCTGTGAGTAAAAGCACGTTTTCAAATCTTCTTTGTCATTGAACAAAAAGCACGTTTTTTATTTAATAAAAAAACTTAAATTCTATTGAAATAACAAAAAATAAGCACAAACAGGTCTAAGTTGTAAAACCACGAGTTGGAAGCAAAGTCCAATACGCTATGTACTGTCACATCATTACGGGTAGAATCTTTCACTCATCACACACTTCATTTTCTTTCTCTCTCTTTCCTACTACTTTCTTCTTCATTTTTTGTCTTTTCCTCCTCTCACTCTCACTCGTCCGCAACATCATTTTCGCTTGACAAGTACCTTCCTTCTCTCACTTAAGGCTAATTTAGTATTGTTGTGTTTAAAAAAAAAAGATATTTTTATTACACTGTAAGAATAAACAATTGTAAAATAAAATTGTTAAATGTTTGGTAAATTTTTTTTATAAATGTGTTTTTAACAAAAAAAAAAGTATTTAAGTGTGGCAAACTTTTATATGAAACTGCTAATGATTAAAAAGATATGGTATTGAATGTCATAAATGCTAAAGAAAATAATATAGGGGCAAAAATTGTAACTTTGTAAAATATGTGAGGGTATAGTTGTAATTTGAAAATTCTATTAAATATGTGAGGGTATAGTTTGTAAACTTACCTTAAATATGGAACCCTTTGTGTTCAAGTTCTGGAATGGATCTGGAATGGCTTTAAAAGGGGTAAGGGAAGAAGAAGAAACGAAAATGCTCTGAATGGCTCTGATACTCCACCTCTGAGAATGTGAAAGAATATCACAGATAGTGGCACACGGTTTTGAATGTGAAAGAATATCACAGACTCATAGTGGCACACGATTTCATTATGAAAGCACTATTATTTTTGTCCATGGTCTCAAATTGTAAAAAATGATTGTAAAAGTTGTCAGGTGAGTCAAATGACCCAACCACACACACGCGCCACGACACACACACAGAGATCACACACGCACACAGACATCACACGCAGGTTTTTGCTTAATTAAAATCGCATGAACGCGAATCAAACATTAATAAAAAAATTAAAAATAACATAATTGCTAACTTTTATCAAATAAGGTAGAGATGATAAGCTTGTGTCATCTTTTAGCAGGAATGAGAATAAATATGGCATCCAGCACTGCAGTGATCTTTAAGAGATGTGAGTGAAAGATGTCCGAATCAATCAACAATGGACAACAACTAAGAACATTTTATTTTTTGGTTTTATCATATATGAAAATTTGAACAAGGAAAAGATATACAGAATTGATCCAGAGAGCAGCACCATTCATAAGCCCTAGCAAAAATCCCAGAGAGCAGCACCATCAACGTTTTTTACGTATCCATTACTCCATCCGAGATTCCAAAACGCTCAATAAAAACCCTCGTCATCCGTCGAAGCCGGCATCGGCTGCTGGGACCTCCGCACCGGCGCCGAGCAGCTCCGCTACAAGCTCTGCGCCCTCCGCCTCAGGGCCTCATCTGCGTCGGCGAACGGTTCCTGGCCTCCTCTCAGCTCTGCGAGCATTCTGCCTCCTCTGGCTCTGTCCAGTACTGGTCCTGGTGCAAGGTAAGATCACCTCCTTTCTTACGCACACAGCCTGTTTGATGAACTGCCTCAACTGATAAAGCTTGCATTTTTATTGAATTTTGGGATTTTTGATGTGCAGCCGCAAGTTGATGTCAAGAGTTTCCGAGAAGAACCGATCAATCCGCTCGCTGCGAACAGCGAAGGCACGTCGGTGAATAGCTACTTGTGGAAGGTTAACTTTCCTAATTAATTTTTTGGTAACTTTAACGAAAAGTAACCGGTACAGTTTACTTTAACGAAAAACCACATTTTTACACTAAACAGTCAATCCTGGTACTATTCACTTTACCTTTATTTTGTCCTTATCATTAAAACTCAAAGTTTTCAAACCCTTTTCATTAATTTTCCTCAATTTTTTTTTTCCTCTTTGAATTTATCTTTTTTTGAGCTCTGAAATGCTAATGAACATGTTTTTTTTTGTATTTATTAAGGTTAACACTGGTAGACTGTTTAAGAATTGGCATGCTCACGACAGAGGTGTTAGTTGATTGGTATTTTTGGATGATGGCTCCCTGCTGATTTCGGGGTTGGAGGATGGAGATATTAGAGTTTGGTCTCTTATACGGTAACCCTTTCTTATCGTATATTTTTGTATCCTTATATTGTTTTTAATTATGCACTGAAAACGGTGATATCTCTATCCGTTGAATCTCACAGATTATTTGACGATTATCAAAGTGAATTACAAAGCCATCTGTACATGCTAAATTTATGGAGCACACTCTTTGTGTAACCGATGTTGGCGCAAGATATGGTGGATGCAAAGCCATTATTGTATCAGCATCTCAGGATCGCACGTGTGAGGTATGGCGTGGCCTTTAGTAAATTATAAATTGTATTTGGTATAATAATAATGTTTAGTAACGAACGGATCATGTACTGAACAATGATGACAAAGTTAGTTAAAATGGGGTCTGGATACTATAAGAGAAAACGATTCATGAATTCACCATCCACAAGTGGATTGTTTGTCTTGACTTGTTGATCTTTTACTTTCTTAAATGCTCAGATTTATCTTCTCGATTTTTCATAGCATGTACTCCTTGTAATTCCCTCAATATCTATTGCATTTCTTTTGCCTATTATGTACTGATGCATTCTTATTCATCCCACAAAAAACAATGCATTCTTGAAATTGCATGTGTTTTATAATTTTGATTTGGAAGTACATTTCTTAGGTTTGGAGAGTTGGAAGTGGGAGATTGTTCAGAAATATTGTTTTCCCTACTATAATTGAGCCGTTGCACTGGATCCTGGTGAAAATGTCTTCTTTGCCAGTGGTAGAGATGGCAAGATATAAGTTGGTGCACTTAATAATGCTGAGAGCCCGCTTAACAGCAAGAATGGATTGCATATCATCGATTGTTTCTTGAATCACAAGTTTCTCTCTTTTCCTATAGGCAAACCTTGAGTTTTCTTCAGTTACCACTTCTCTAATTTTTAACTGTGTATTTTTCGTTTTTCAAAGTATAATCGCCAAAGATTGTTGCACGTTTTAAGAACCCTGCATTCTACCTTTAGTTATGACAGGCCTTGCATTCTAGCGAACTGAATCAAGGAATATTCATTTTAGTATATTTTGAATGACCAAACTCATTTAACTCACAACTTTATACTTTTGACTTTTGAACAGCAAAGTTGTTACTTGCTTAGCATATGGCATTTCTGAAAATTATTTGATTTCTAGATTAGAAGATGGCGTGGTTCGAGTTTGGGATGCTAGAACTCATAATATTCTTCTCGTGTTCAAACATGCAAAAGGTTATCTCAATTCTATTTGAATTATTTCCTTCCCCTGGTGTATGCATATTTGATGATATTGAAGCAAATTTAGCTGTATTTGATTAGCACTATTTCATAATACAGTTTATATTCAAATATCTCGGTTGTTCGTGTTCAATCTGTCAAAGTTTACAAATTTGTTTAGTATACACATAATTTGCACTGTACTCTGCAGGCCCAGTGAATAATATTCTAGTCGTTCGACAACACTTTTCTGAGAAATATTGTTCTGACTTCAACTGAAGACCTCATACAAGTCTGGATCACTTTGCATTATACTAGACACACACGCTTTTGATGTGCCTATGTCCAGACGATCTTCATTCTCCTCGAAAGCAAAGGAAAGGACCATTCTGCTGAAATCTGTAATGCAGCAGCCAACCATCGGTTCTAGTAATGCATGCAGGCTTCTCTCCCTTTCCATCTCACTTCCTCTAAAGAGAAAATGCGTTAGCCCTGCGTCCATTAGCAGCACTCGCAACAGTCAAGCGGGTAGGATTAACGAAAAATTCAAAAGATCAACGAAACATGTATGCATAAACTAAACACCCCAATTAATTTTGAGATTACCTTTTCGATGATTTTTGCACCCAGCCAAAGTCAGCTCCAATGTAATGGTTTCGGTTTATTTTAGGCAGCATTGTTTGTACTCGGGACCTGTAACTAGTAGCAGCTAAGTCTCAAATTCAGAGATTTTAAAAATAAAATAAAACTAGAGCATTGGGAGAGGAGGAATCGTACTCGGGACCTGGAATATGGTCTTAACCGAGTTACAAGTCCCTTGCAACATTATATATGCAGTTATGCTTGTCTAGTTGGAATCTTGTCTAGTTGGATTGATGTAAAATGAATAGAGTGAGTTGGTAAATAAATAGAAAAGAGCTTAATTACCAGAAGTGGAAGCCCTCTCATGCAACTAAACAGCATCCTCTGTTTCCACTATGCCTGAAGTGGAAGGCCTCTCAGGTAACTCAACAGCATCCTCTGCCTCCACTATGCGTTTACCATCCATTCTGATGTTGGGGATGTGAGAAATCTTGGGCCACTCCTTTCCTCTGCCTTTTTGGCAACCTTGTGCAAGATAACCACTGTATTTGATGTTAAGTGTCTGAAGTGATGTTTTCCGCAAGAAGTCTGGCAGTGTTTTTAGCTGAGGGCAGTACCCAATCTGTAAAGAAGAAAGGCATGGCATTATGGTAATATGAGAATCCTCTTCCTTCCACTCTTCCACTCCTTTCCACTCTTCCCACTCCAGCATCAACAGAAATGTTAGTGTTTTCAATTTTGGGAATAGAGTAATGCATGATGATGCTGATGACGTTTCCTTTTCTATTCCCAGAAACTCAACTCCAACCTTTTTTACTCCTTTCATACTACTAAGGATCAGTGTTTCGAGGGACGGCAATATTCCCAAAGGAGGTAAAACTTCACATTCATTCCACCACACAAGATCAAGAACTCTCAAATTGTTTAATGACATGATCCAATTAGGGGCAGTGCTTCCATTATAGCCATTGATTCTTAAATATTCCAAATTTGGATGCGGTCGTAAGAAATTCAAGATATTTCCGCCAGTTCCACACTCTCGACTCTATACTCAATTGTGTTGAGAGTTGGTTGGTTTGTTCCCCAGGGGGTGAGCGCTTTTTCTCATGCATTCACCCGCAAGCAATCACATCCCAAACAAACCAATCTTCAGTGTACCCTGACGTTGGTCTAAGTTTTCAAAATTCTCCAATTTGAACGTTTCTCGTCGTTTTAGCACCGCCAACAGGGAACCCATCTAGTCTTCTTAGATTTGGTTAATCTCCCAATCCTTTCGGCAGTACTTCAACTCATTGCAACTCAACATTAAAGATTGCCTTAGTTAGATCAACTTTCCCATGCTCTGAGGGTAAGACTTTCAAGTTCCCACACCATCAAGGGGGCAATGTCTGCAAAATTGTATAAAGTACAACCGCTTCGGTACTTTTTTCAACCTCTGTTTTCAGACAACAATGAATACTCAGAATGCACCAATTTCACCTATCTCTTCCGGGAAGCACTTCAATACATTACTTTACTCAAATTATGTTCCTAGGATGTTCACTTGTTGACCATCAAATTTGGAGTCACAACGGTGGAATTCGCCAAAAGATTGCAGAGTACGATATTAGTTTGCAGCTGGAAAATGAAACATGTGGAAATTTGGAGCCTTGGGAGCAGCAATAGTGGTTCAAATGACGAATCTATCACCAAGGACTCTATTGTATGGTTGTACCAATTTACCTTTGTACAAGCATTTTCATTGTTTTCTAAGTTTTAGAGCACGAATATCATGCATTTTTACACATCCAGATTTTTCCCATCACGATCTTTTTTAAAGTCTTGGGAAGAAGGATCGCCAGAATTTACTAAATTATTCAACAACTTTGGCAATTATTTTTTTCATCTATTTTTCCTTTCGAATAGAGATTAATCTTGTTGGACATCACAATTCAGATCAAATGATCTTTAGTCGATCTCATGATTCTTTTAAAATAGCACAATACAAAAGGCATTGTTTGACCATAGTCCAATTCAAATATCAAAGTAACAATGGTTTTGAAAACTTGTTCCGCCAACTCTTTCAGCTCCCATATTCCTTACTACTTCAAAACGTCTTGCCATTTCTTTCCTTTGTTTTCTTTTGTCACGCGTGAGACTACCCAGAGTCTTTGCAGCAAGAGGCAACCCTTGCACTTTTTTGAAATTTTTCACAATGTCTCCCACCACTTCCTTTTCCCTATTTTAAAAATTCCATGTAGTTGAATACGTTGACAAACAATATTGTTCCTCAAACGCTCTCCAAATAGATCGTGTGAGCGTAGCTACCATCATATTCAAACAACCTTGTTATTCGGCAGTGGGTCACTAAGTATTTACGTGCGTCCGCGCCGCCACTTTGCATATCGCAATTGCATTTTTCCACCGTTTTGGTCTTTATCCACACCATCGTCTAAACAGGCAGAAAACTTTTTTTCCTTTTGACTTCAGAGCATCTACACGAAACAAAATCTTACCAAGTATTTGAATTGGAATGACCCTTCGCGGCACAAGAATGATGGTTTTTGCATTTTGTTGACATCAAAAAGGGTCCGAACACAAAACCATATTTTTCTCCGGCTTTTAACCATAAAAGCTAGTTATAACGTTTTCTCATATCCTCATCCAACAATAGGGATAAAGAAGGGATCCCTTCTCTTCTTGACTACTTCATTCAACAATTGCTACCAAACTCTTTGTTGTTTCTCACCAATATGACGTTCATCAACAAGAATCAGTTTCGGACTCGCTCAGGTTGTTCAATGAAATTCTCTCCATGGATTTGAAAGTTATATGTTTGTCTGCGCTTACACAATCTTTCAAATCTTTTATTCAGACGTTTTCTCTCACGAGCGCATTTGATTACGAATTACCGTCTTGACTTGACCAAAAGAAAAAGCAGGAGGGAATAGCAGAAACATACCGCTTCTTCTTCTTTCTCGGTACAAAGAAGTACTTCCACGTGCTTCTTGTTTCTCAACTTGGTTGTTTCAAGTATTTTGCAGTCTTCCACTCATCCCACATGTCCATCTTGTTTAGGCACCTCTTCAGCTTCTCCAGCCAATTTCTGACTCTGGTCTCTTTCACTTCATCTCTCCGCATCTCAGCAACAGCACGATCGCTTTTAAGGTTGTCAGATTTCTGCAACATCTTTCTCCGGGTCATTTCAGAACCAGCTTTCACCTTTTTCCCGAACTACTGGTTAATTATCGAGCCAGTTGTTGGAGAAGCACGGAGATGCCTCAGGCCATCTTTCGGTTAGCAGTGGGATAACAGAGAAACCAAGATCTGAAGTTGGAAGTGCAGGATGGAGGGCTGTGTGTATCACATATTGTTCTCCACCACTACTTGAGTTGGAGATGTTGCTCAGGATGGATGTGACAACGACGATAATAGTGGTGGGTGGAGGAGGAGTCACCCGCACTCATTTGTTAACTCACTTGTATTAAGGCCATGACATTGGTTCCTCTTCCTTATTACGATGCATCAAGTCAGGATCCCACGAATCAACAAATTCAATAAGGATGAGCAGGATTTCGCGATCTATCGAAAATTGATTCATAGTATATCTTACTTTGTAATACATGTATTGTTATGTCATAATACATGTATTATTACAGTTATTCTTAGCTATATTTTTAAACACATGTTCGAATTTTATCTACGTATGTTATCCGGAACACCTATTTTATTTTTTTTTTTTTTATTTTTCACATTTTTTGGACTGTTGAGATTGCAGACAGATTGAAGAGCTATTTACGACAAAAATTTAACAAATGTATGTAAGAATGTTTAAAAACAATAAATAACGATATTTTCTTTATTTAGATTAGAGGAAAATGACAGGTCTTTGCTATGGTGTATGGTTGACTTTTGTCATTATTTAAGTCCCTGTGGTTAACTGTTGTTTTGTAACTTAAATTTAACAACAACATAAAGCGGAGTAAGACATAAAAACAAAACAAAACCTCTGTAATTAAGAATTATTTCTCCTAATTGTTCTGTGAGTAAAAGCACGGCTTCAAATCTTCTTTGTCCAAGTAGTTAACCATCTAACCTAACAGTGCTAAGTTCAAGTACCTCTCCACCCACCCACCCCGGCCACGTCAGCCACCCGACTTGGTCGCTGGCAACCCCTTCCTCCTCCTCGCCGTGGAGCACCAGCTCATCTGAAGCCTAAAAGCAAGTACTCAAACAACTGGCTCTTAACGCAGTTAAGAATTTGACAAATTGTGTTTCTAGCACAACCATTTATTTATTTTTTTTCATTTTCCACTTTCTTTTTAAATAATAATATTTAAAACGTGTTTGATAAAATTTGACTTCAATTTTTCTTAACAAATATTCAATTTAAAAAAAAAAACAAAAACTAAAAACTATAAGTAAAAAGAAGCTTTAATGAAAAATACTTCCCCAAACTTTTTCTTTAAAAAAACACCTAATCACTTTATTTAATAAAAAGAACTTATATTTTATTGAAATAACAAAAAATACGCACAAACAGGTCTAAGTGGTAAAATCACGAGTCGGAAGCAAAGTCCAGTACGCTATGTGCTGTCACATCGTCTTGGGTGGAATCTTTCACTCATCACACACTTTATTTCCTTTCTCTCTTTCCTACTTCTTTCTTCTTCCCTTTCTTTTTTGTCTTTTCCTCCTCTCACTCGTACGCTTCATCATTTTCACTTGACAAGTACTTTCGTTCTCTCACTTAAGGCTAATTTAGCAGGACAAGGATTGTCTGCCCTTCTACTTTCGGTGTCCTTCCATGCCCTCTTGTTTTATGTGATCATGGTTAAGCCACGTCAATATTTTATATTGCTATTCATTTTTGTCTTATTATCTCTATAAAAAAAACAATATAAAATGTTAACGTGGTTTAACTGTGACCACACAAAACAGGAAGGCACGAGAGGGCACTGTAAATGGGAGAGCAGACAATCATTGTCCAATTTAGCATGGTTGTGTTTAAAAAAATTATTTTTATTATACGGTGAGAATAAACACTTGTAAAAAAAAATTGTTAAATATTTGGTAAACATTTTTTGTAAAAGTGTTTTTAACAAAAAACAAATATTTGAGTGTGGTAAGCTTTTATAAGCAACTGCTAATAACTAAAAGGATATGGTATTTGTTTGTACCATACTTGACCAATCCCGAAATTACTGAGCACCGGTCAACGTTATACCGTCAAGGACCCAGAAGAGTTTCCCTCCAACCAAGAGGCCAATCACAATGCGACACGTGTCGACATCAGAAGCCAATCACAGCGCGACACGTGTCAACATCAGAAGCCAATCACAACACGACACGTGTCAATGTCAGAACAAAGCTAGAAACTCTTCTATAAAAGGAGATCATTCTCCCACAATATTTTCTAATGTCATTTGTATTAAATCATTCACTAGTACTCACCAAATGAGAGCTTGAACCTATGTACTTATGTAAACCTTTCACAATTAATGAGAACTTCTCTACTCCGTGGACGTAGCCAATCTGGGTGAACCACGTACATCTTGTGTTTGCTTCCCTGTCCCTATCCATTTACATACTTATCCACACTAGTGACCGAAGCAATCTAGCGAAGGTCGCAAACTTAACACTTTATGTTGTACCAAAGTCCTCACTGATTTTGTGCATCAACATTTGGCGCCGTCTGTGGGAACGACACTTATTCCCACTCTCTTCAGCTTTGTCAAGCTGGTTTCCACCATTCGTACACTCTCTTTTGACCAGGCATCCCTTTCCAACATGGCGAGGGGTTATAACGTTTTCAAAGGTTTTTATTAAAACTTTATTTTCAGGCCTATTCACCCTTGTTTTTCGCCCTTCCAGGTTCTAGTAGTAGAGTTTTCGTACCGATGAGGATTATTGGCAAATCTTGGTGTAAACAATTACCATCGATGGTATAATTCTCACCATATTTTACAGTACTGTACTTATGCTCTGTCATCACATGTGAAATGGGTTTATTCCCGCTCACAACGCATTCTTGTATTTAGGCACTTTTAGGTTTATTCACATTTTCCGCATTACTACATTTTATGGCTTCGTCACCTTCCAGATGTCGATCAGCACAGCTTGATTTGGAGTCCTAATGGACATTCCGGGTCGGGGTGTGTCAATTTCCTTAGAAAATATAACCAAGGTGTTTAAGAATTTAATTGATTAAAAGGGATGATAATTAATTAGTTGCCATAAAAAAAGAGTTAAACACTCAATTACATTATTCAATACTTATTTATAATAAAATAATATAAAGTATTAAGTTGGCAACTAAAATACTGACGTAATAAAAGTCAGACTTTGATCAAAAGTTGAAAAACACAAGGTTTCAATCAAAGTAATGTCATCACTAGAAGTGGGAGCCCTATTTCGTCATGATAAATAGATTTACCTGCCACGAGTAGTCTAATTAAGAAGTGCGTGCGACAGAGAGCCCGAAGCTACCAAGAAGAAGATGACATTCTACAAAAATGTATGTGTACCATAACAAACATGTACAGCAATGCCTTAGAACATATTTGGATACATCGCATATTTGCACATAAGAAAAATTATGTTCATCGTATTATTCATATATATGCTACAACTAATGTTCTTTTCCTTTGTTGAGGCTAGAAACCTAAAATTATGAATTAATATGCAATTGACACTATGATAACAAAGCTCTGATTCTCAACACTACAACAAGAGAGTTAAGATTCTCATCAATGAAATGGTATATATGTTGCAAAACTTAATTCTTCGCTGAACAATTGTAAATTAACTTTCTGATTCCTTTAAGTCCCTCGCAACAATCCAACAAAGCTTTGTACCTACAACTTCCTCCGTTTATTGGATTTGGATTCAGACTTGGCATCATGCACCGGAGAGTTCTGTCTTTTGTTGGATTCACACTCGGCTGGCATTGGAGACGGAAACTCCTCCTCTACACACATCCCGCACACGATGGCAGAAGAGTCATTGACGTAAGTACAGCAATCACAAGGCCAATAATCCCCACTCATCTCCGAAAAATCATTCTCCATCGCTGTTACAGTTCCGCTTTCTGATTAAAACTCCAAACTTTTATACAAAACTTGAAATTTTACATCAAACTTTTTGTGTGTAGGCTGACAAACTAGAACACTGGCTTGACTCTGTAAGCCTATATTCCTCCAATTCAGTACTGTTTAGTTCTCTCCTCCGTGCTTAGTTTCGCTGTTTTCTCTGAGAATCATTTCACTGGAAAAGCAGACTACAAAATTTAAAGCTGTACTACAATGCAAACAAAGAAATATTCCATGAGAAATTCATGATCATGCACAATTTGCTTACACTTATGAACCAGCATTGTTTCGGTAGTTTCGTTGGTTTATCCCCTCCCTCCCTTAAACATCGTATAGTCATGTTTAATTTGATTATGCATATTGTTACATGAGCCATATTTACAGATCAGGTTGTGTAAAAATCCTTTTGAAAGGATAGCAATGCTAGAGGTAACTGAGCAAGTCATGCTTTTCTCGTTGTCTGCTAGATTATCGACTTTATGTTTTTGTTATCTTTTCATTAAATTAATTCAAACAACGAAAATAGAAGATATCTGCTTCAACTAACTGTACTTCTCTAAACAACTTGAATGCTGATCCAATAGGAATAGGTCCTGGTCCTTTCTCTGGCCTATTTCTAATTTCTGGTCTTGCTTGTTCATTGGCATATTTGGTTGTAAATGCACGTATAGTGGGTAAGCATCTGCGAGATTTGAGCTACACGCAACTACGAGCAATGTTATTCTACACAAAAATGTGGAGATAATTAGCCTAGAGCAACCAAAATTCTAAGCATCATCGCTCCAATTAAGCAAAATTGTAGCTCAGTCAATGGTACACGACTGGTTGCCGTCGAATGTGAATTTATTTCTTAATTATCTGTTAGCATGGCTCTGTCACATATACATCTGCTCACGTACATCTCTTTCTGAGATACAGGAAGTTGTATTAAGGTCACCATTTGTGTTGCATTTTTGGTTCTGACTTCAACTGAAGACCTCAAACAAGTCCGGAGCTCTTTGCATCTGTGCTTGATATTGGAACACTTTGAGATGCTTGCTGAAAAAGGAAGCCCATTTCGTTCAACCGAAAAGAGAAATCCATTTGGGCCTAAATGAAACCTGATTCGCATCAGTCATCAATGACAAACATTTGCTTTGATTCTAAAAGATTCGAATCTCAGTATTTGAGCACAATGCCTCCACAAATTGCCCTGAAAAATGAAAATGATAAAAACACATTTTTTAACATCTCACTTAATCATGGCCGTTGCTTTAAATTGATTTATTCAATTTCATAGTTAAAAAAAAAAGTGTGTATAAGACTTAAAAAAAGTGTGCAATTATCTCTCGTTGCTTAAAAATGCAAATACATTATGGGGCAATTATAGTTTACTGTCTTGAAGTTTGCTTCATATAACTCCTCTTGCTTAATGTCTATCTTATATAAGCGATATTTCACATTAAATTAATTTGAACAACGAAAATAGAAGTTTAAACTTCGATGTATAGGAAGAACACATTTATTTATCCAATTTGACTATGCCCAAGCCTTTATTCTTTTTAGCCATCATGTTAATCTTAGCAAATTATGGCGTGTATTTTAATGGTATTGTTTAATAATGACGTGGCTTACTTGAGGTTCAGTTTTTGCATAATTAAAATTGCTTGAACACAGCGTAGATCAAATATTAATAAAAAAAACTGACATAATTGTTAACTGTTATCTGATAAGGTAGAGATGATAAGTTTGTGTCATTTTTTAGCGGGATCGAGATTATGCTCCGTCCATTAGAAAAGAGAATGCTGATTATCACCCTGGTCGAATAAAAAACAAAAAACCACAAGAGACCTCAGTGAAAAATGTCGGAATCAATCAACAATGGACAACAATTAAAACTATTTTTCTGTTATATCATATATGAAAATATGAACAATGAAAATATATACAAAATTAATCCACAATTGGGACAGAAATTAGAAACTTTCAAACAATTGCCAACGGCCCCGTTTTGAGAACCTCCCCTGCCTTCTGTGTCTGGCCACGCGCCATTCAAAAACCCTAGCAAAAATCTCAGAGAGCAGCACCATCAACGTTTATGTATCCGTTACTCTGTCTGAGATTCCAAAACGCTCCATAAAACCCTAGTGAGAAACCCCAGTTCACCAATCCAATCCGGTCCAATCCATCGATACTTTCTTATGCACACAACATGTTTGATGAATTGGCTCAATTGATAAAGCTTGCATTTTAATTGAATTTGGGAATTTTGTGCAGCCGCAAGTTGATGTCAATGGCTTCCCAGAAGAACCAATTACTCAGCTCGCTGCAAACAGCGAAGGCACGTACATTGTTGGTGGAGGCTCGTCGGGGAATATCTACAGGTGTTAGTTGCTTGGTATTGTTGGATGATGGCTCCCTGCTGATTTAGGGGTCGGAGGATGGAGGCCTTAGAGTTTGGTCTCTTTATAGGGTAACCATTTCTTATCATATATTTTTGTATCTTTATATTGTTTTTAACTATGCACTAAAAATGTCTTCTTTGCCAGTGGTAGAGATGGCAAGATATACGTTGCTGCACTTAATACTGAGAGCCTGCTTAACAGCAAGTATGGGTTGCATATCATCGATTGTTTCTCGAATCACAGGTTTCTCTCTTTTCCTATAGGCAATCTTTGAGTTTTCTTCAGTTACACTTCTCTAATTTTTAACTGTGTATTTTCGTTTTTCAAAGTATGACTGCGAAAGATTGTTGCACGTTTTAAGAACTCTGCATTCTACATTTAGTTATGATAGGCTTTGCATTCTGGTGAACTGAATCGAGGAACATTCATTTTAGCATATTTTGAATTCTGGATCAGAAGATGGCGTGGTTTGAGTTTGGGATGCTAGAACTCATAATATTCGTCGCGTGTTAAAACACGCAAAAGGTTATCTCAATTCTATTTGAATTATTTCCTTCCCCGGGTTTATGCATATTTGATGATATTGAAGCAAATTTAGTTGTACTTGATTAGCACTATTTCATAATACAGTTTATATTCAAATATCTCAGTTGTTTATGTTCAATCTGCCAAACTTTACTAATTTGTTTAGTATTTACATGAAATTTGCACTGTACTTTGCAGGTCCAGTGAATAATATTCTAGTTGTTCGACAGCATTTTTCTGAGAAATATTGTTCTGACTTCAACTGAAGACCTCAAACAAGTCTGGATCACTTTGCACTATACTACACACACACAATGGAGCTTTTGATGTGCCTATGTCCAGACCATCTTCTTTCTCCCCGAAAGCAATGGAAAAGACCATTCTGGTGAACTCTGTAATGCAGCAGCGAACCACCGTTCATTAGCAGCACTCGCAACAGTCAAGCAGGTAGGATTAACGAAAAAAACTTCAAAAGGTCAACGAAACATGCATGCATAAACTAAACACCCCAACTAATTTTGAGATTACCTGTTTCTGCATTCTTCCTTTTAGATGATTTTTGCACCCTGCCAAAGTCGGCTCTAATGTAATGGTTTCGGTTTATTTCAGGCAACATTTTTTGTACACCCTGTAACTGCTAGCAACTAAATTAGACGACTGGAGGGTCTGCAAAATTTTGTGACCATAAACTATTACTTTCTTACATATAATTTTTGGTTTAAAGTTGCTTATAGTCTCAAATCCAAAGATTTTAAAATTAAAATAAAACTAGAACATTGCAAATCACGATATTGAGAGAGGAGGAATCGAACTCGGCACTTGGAATATGGCCTTAACCAAGTTACAAGTCCCTTGCAACATTATATCTGCAGTTATGCTTGTCTAGTTGGAATCTTGTCTAGTTGGATTGATGTAAAATGAATAGAGTGAGTTGGTAAATAAATAGAAAGGAGCTTAATTACCGGAAGTGGAAGGCCTCTCATGCAACTAAACAACATCCTCCGCTTCGACTATGCCTTCGCCCTCATCATCAAAATCAAAATCAGAATATTCAGGCCTAATTGCGATGTTGGGGATGTGAGAAATCTTGGGCCACTCCTTTCCTCTGCCCTCTCGTCAACCTTGTGCAAGACACGGAGAGCCCTCGATGTGAAGTCTCTTAAGTGGTGTTTTCCGCAAGAAGTCTGATACTGTTTTTAGCCGAGGGCAGTTGTGAATCACTAAAGAAGAAAGGCATGACATTATGGTAATATGAGAATCCTCTTCCTTCCACTCTTCTCATCTTCCTTCCACTCTTCCACTCTGTTTGGATTAAAAATTGATTTTTGGCCCAAGGATGGAGTCGGCCCAAAAGGAGGCCTGGAGGAATAGAAGATCAAGGCTCGGCCGAAACTTGGGAAAGCAGGAAATGGCCTTTTCTGACTTGATACAATTCATAAGGGCCACTTGCCTACCTACCCAAGGACCAAGTGGTGTAGACTGATCAGACTGCACAGCCCATAAAGTACTTTATGGTGGCATTACATGTAATAAAGCTGATGAGTCATCACCCTCAGACCGCATTCGGGCAAAGCTGTCGCTACAGGAGCCAAACCGAGTCGTCTATAAAAGGAGGAAGAGAAGACAGGAATAAGGACACTCAATCAAACAAACAAAAGCACAAACTCTGCTCAAAAAGCCAGATTTGCCTTTCAAAACGAAGCTGTAGTCAGCCCAAGCCTTCATCCCCCGCGGGATAATCTTTTCTCCCAACCCCTGTAATAGCTCTGCTACCTTGTTCGAACAAGTTGTAGTATCGATTCACCCTTTGTATTCTCCTTTCCCCTCTCCCCCTCTAAGCTTTCAGACCTTTGACAGAACTACAAAGATAGGGACCTGCAAGACGATCAGCCTTAATTGATAAGGTTTAATCTTGCCCGACCTGCTTTGCTCTGTCTTTGTCTTCTCTTTCTTTAAAGTCTAGCAATATGTTGTATATTTCCAGTTATATGCAAGTTGTTTCTAGTAAAATCACAATGACAAAGCGTTCTCAGTACTTGGATCCGATTTGAATATATCTTTAGTGTTTAAATCAGATCCAAGTCCTAAGCCCTCAGGCATGTAAATCTGATTAGCTTAAAAGTCCTTGGCCTCAAGGCATAAAAAAGAACTTTATGTGGATTTAACCCATCCACGACAATCCTTGATAAACGAGAAGTCCGAAGTTACTTGGGGCGCAAGTAATCGACCTACCTCTTGGTTTTATTTCTATTATATCATGATTATTATAGAACGCTTAAGTATAGAATGGATTCTGATAGGAAGCCTCAAGGCCTATACCTAAGGCCCCACAAAGGCACTTATTTGGATTTATTCTATTCTGCGGTCTAGATGGTTTGAGTATAAGAACAGATTCTAATGGGAAGCCTTAATGCCTACACCTAAGGCCTCACAAAGGCACCTATTTGGGTTCGCTCTACCTCTCAGACTCGGATAATCAGAAATATAATAGTTATAAGACCCCGACAACCATAAAAACCAAATATAATATGCTCAAGCACTGGTTTAGTTTGACAGGAAGCCTCAAGGCCTATACCTAAGGCCCCACAAAGGCACCTGTTATATCTAACACGGTTTCTCGGGCATATGCATATTCACAACTAAAACTTAACATCTATTCGACATCTGCCATAATGAAGATGGCAGTGGCACGCCTGAGCACCAAAATGTTAACCTTGATTGTGAGCCTCAAGGCCTACATCTAAGGCCCCACAAAGGCACCTCTCAAAGTTAACGCTGTCCTTCTCTTTCAGCCTTGCCCGAAGAGTTTTGCCCGACGAGACTTGCCCGACAAAGCCCGACAGGAAAGCAGAAGCCCGACAGCAGCCCTCAACCGACGCCGAACCTCCAGGGGAGCTGTGTGCTCGTCGGCCAGGAAACACCCCCGACGGGAATTCCTGCCGCGAACATAGTTTTCATGCCCGGTGGGATTTCTAATCAGAAGATAGAGAAATAGATATGCCAGAAGACTTACAGACCACGTTGTCTCAAATGCTGCAAAGATTGGAGAAAGCCTCCACAGGCTCTAGAAGTGATATAGATGTGGTTCCTCCCAAAGGAAAAAGACGTAGAAACAGCCAGCCAGACGAGATGGACGTAATCAACCCTGCATTTCCCTTCTCAGAGGCCCCTATAAATATGCTCAATATGACATGGGCGGAGAAAGGAAAAGGGAAGATTACAAGGGAAGAAGAAGAAAGACTGGCTGAAAAACCTACAGAGAAAATAATCAGACTGCCCGAGTATCCAAAGGCTGCCATAATCAAGGGGATGGTCATGTGCAGTAAATGCCAGTGTGAATGTGAGCTTGAGATTCCCTCGGCTGGAGTCCTAATTGATCACGAGTTAATCAGGAGGAAGGAAGAAGATACAAGAAGAGAAGCCCGCGAAAAGAGTAAGCAGGCAACAAAGAAAGATACTGCCCGAAGTGTTTTTAAGCGCTTAAGAGGTGATTCCCAACCCAAGGCTTTGTCAGAAGTGTTTCGAAACCATGAAGCTTCTGACGAGGCAGAAACGGAGGCCAAAATCCAGAGAGGTGCATATCATCTTCAGAATGGCCAGATGAGAGGGGAAGTCAAGAGAACTGATGGGATAGCTAATCCCGGCAGAAAAGGGAATCCTGCCCACCTCGGGCGAAAATGGTATGTAGTCGGGAAGAATGGACAGCCTACCAAACCAATGGGAGCCTCTATGATTAGGAGGGTTCAAAGGCAGCACAAGGCCTACATGAATTCCTTGAAGACCCCCACTACCTCTGAAACCTCAAAAAATCAAAAGTTGGAAAAAGTAACATCTGGAGGTAGTAGCCAGCTCCGTTGGCAAAATAAGAAGGAGGTAGAGAAAACCAATAGCAAAGCAGAGGGGGTAGGGGATCATGTGCCGCAGAGCCAACATCCTGGGAAGTATAGGATCTTGAGAAGAGCTCAAGAAGATCTGATCATGGTACGAACTCCTGGGTGGAAGCCGGAGTCTATTCACATGGGAACTGTTGCAAGACCGCTTTCTCTGCCATTGGTGGATCCCTTTGGTGAAGTTACAAAACAAACGCTGTATGAGGGCATGGATCAACCCCAACAGGAAGGGATACCAGAACCACTACTTCCAGCCGATGCGATGGCCTGGTTAGATGAATTCATGGACCAAATTGGGAGCAAGAAGGAAGATGTACTCGAGCCCAGTAATTTCCACATCAACATGGCGTATGTATTATACGCCACGTTTGGTGCCAAACCTGATCAGCCTGCTACTATGGAGGGTGATTACTTAACAACGGAGCCAATGATGGCACAAGTCAATGTGGAGATAGCAGAAGAAGAAGACTCGGGCAAGGCTGAGCCCTCAGAAGCATCCAAAGGTGGTCCTATAAGGATTTATACAGACGAGATGGTGTTCAGTCGCCCGAGTATTTCGTTGGCCAACCATCTGAAGCCTATATATGTTTCAGCTCACTTAGAAGGTGTGCCCTTCAAAAGAATTTTAATTGATGGAGGAGCAGCTGTTAACGTGTTACCGGCCAAGCAGATGAGGAAGATGGGGAGAGGTATGGAAGATCTTATTCCCACAGATCTTACGGTCTCTAGCTTCTCAGGTGCTATCACTAAGACTCATGGGATATTACCTTTGGAGGTGGATTTAGGATCCAAAAAGATAATGCTGGCATTCTTTGTGGTGGACTGCACTTCCACTTACGGAGCCTTACTAGGAAGAGATTGGATCCATCAAAGTTTAGCCATACCTTCCACTCTTCATCAACAAGTGGCTGTATATCATGAGGCGGGTATTGAAGGACCAGGCTTTTGGGAGATAGTAGAGGCCGAAACACGGCCGTTCCTCCCCTCAGCCAATGTTGCTGAAGCAAGTTTCTACAATCCCAACGTAGGAATCTTGAAATGTTCAGGAGCTGATAAGAATGGCCGCCCTACCAAGGTGACGGCCCAAAAGCTTCTGGAACAAGGAATGCTCCTTACCAAGGAGGAGTGGGATAGACCCTGCCTCATACCAAATTCCCTACACCATCAATGACTGAACAAAAGAAGAAAGATTAGGTCATGGCAGTCAGATCCCAGATTAAAAGACTGTTGGTATATGGGAAGGGAAGAAGACAAGAAAGGGAGCAGGAAGAGCAAGAATGGCAGGAAGAAGCTTCAACCAGCCAGCATGGAGATGGAGAGGAATCTTGTAGTGAAGAACTGGATAGGGCCATTCAAGTGGCCGAGTGCATATATGATCTAGATGGACCAGACGACTTGCCCGAGAGCCCAGAGTTGGTCGAGTTTTTATGTGCAGAACCTGACAAGCCATCACCCGAAGTTCAGGATCCTTTGGAAGTTATTGAGCTAGGCACAGAGGAGGATCCAAGACCAATACAGATCAGTGGTTTATTAGGGGTTGATGATCGGGCAAAAATTATTTGTCTTTTGCAAGAATTCAAAGACTGTTTTGCTTGGCATTATACCGAGATGCCAGGGTTAGATTCAACCTTGGTGGAACATAGAATGCCCATCAAGGAAGGATATAAACCGGTCAAGCAAGCACCACGGAGGATGTCAAATGAGATAGAAGAAAAGGTCAAAGAAGAGATTGAGAGGCTAGTGAAAGCTGGCTTTATCAGACCAGCCAAATATGTGGAGTGGTTGGCCAACATCGTACCCCTTTTAAAAGCTGTAACAAAATCAGTACGATGTTGTGTC